TTTCCGTTTCCTCCCGCTTCCCACAATGTCATCCGCTTTGTTGGACGAAGCTGCGCGGATTGCCCGCCAGTTTGATTTCCCCGCCGAGGGCGTCCAACGCGGGGTGAAAGAGTATATCCGGGAGATGGATGAAGGACTGAGCAAAGAGGGCACAACTCTGAGCCAAATCCCGACGTTCGTTACCTCCGTACCAAATGGCACAGAGAAGGTATATTGTTGAGTCTGTCTATTACATCACAATTGCATGTCTGACTTGGTTGCGACAGGGACTGTACCTAGCCGTAGATCTTGGCGGCACCAACTTTCGCGTGTGTTCAGTAGATCTACACGGCGACAACACCTTTTCTCTTACACAGTCTAAAATCATGATCCCTCGTGAATTGATGGCTTCCGGTACCTCCAAGGATCTCTTCACCTTCTTGGCTCGCCAGATCGAAGCTTTCCTGCGTATCCACCACAACGAACACTTCGAAGCTCACCTCCAACGTCGACGTGAAGGAAAGGGTGAAGAGGAATTGTTTGATTTGGGCTTCACTTTCAGTTTCCCCGTGCGCCAGGTCGGCATTAACAAGGGAACCCTCATTCGCTGGACGAAGGGCTTCAACATTCCCGATGCCGTCGGCCATGATGTCTGCGCGTTATTGCAAGGTGCGCTCGATGCTCTGGAGCTCCCCGTGCGCGTGGCCGCTCTTGTCAATGACACAGTTGGAACCTTGATGGCCCGTTCATACACCTCCCCTGGTGAAACAGGAACTTTCCTCGGTGCCATCTTCGGCACTGGTACCAACGGTGCCTACGTCGAGAAGCTTGACAAGATCTCTAAGATGGCTACTATCGAGCATTCCGACTACGATAAGACAACGGGTGAAATGATTATCAATGCTGAATGGGGTAGCTTTGATAACCACTTGAGTGTCTTGCCCAACACCGTCTACGACCAGCAGCTGGATGAGGAGAGTAACAACCCTGGCATCCAGATGTTCGAAAAGCGAGTGTCCGGAATGTTCCTGGGTGAGATTCTGCGCCGTGTCCTGGTCGATCTTTACCGCAATGAATCTCTGGGTCTGTTCAAGCCCAGCGCCTCGTCGGATGTTGTCGTTCCAGAAAACTCTACGCTCTTCCGTCAGTGGGGCCTTGATACCAGCCTCCTGAGCTTGGTTGAAGCTGACAACAGCGAGAGCATGGAGCCTACCAAGACAGCATTGAAGGACCACTTGAAGATTGAACGGGCTAGCACCACGGACTGCAAGGCTGTTAAGACAATTGTGCATGCCATTGGCAAGCGCGCTGCTCGTCTGAGCGCCGTACCTCTTGCTGCCATCCTCATCGCCACCAAGAAACTCGAGACTGACGATCTGGTGGACGTTGGTGTCGACGGTAGCTTGGTCGAGTTCTACCCTAACTTTGAGGGATACATGCGTGACGCCTTGCGTGAGGTGCCCGAGGTAGGCCCTGCCGGCGATAAGAAGGTGCGCATTGGCATCTCGAAGGATGGTAGTGGCGTTGGTGCGGCTTTGATTGCCCTGGTGGCTAGCAAGGAAGAAGCCAGGATGAAGACCCAGTAGTGGTCGTATGACTAACACTTTGCGATGTTCTCAACTTTATTCCCCGCCTCCCCTTTTTTTTTATGGTTTATTATGAATGGGTGACCTCAGATTGTCGGTGAAGACTACTTTATCTTCACCTTCCCTAGCCGCTTTTTCGCGCGGTGAAGACCATGTGCTCGAGTTTGCAGGGACGGCTTACTGTGAAAGGACCTGGAGTTAGAGAGAGTGGCTGGGAAGAAGGGTGTAACAATATTCATTTTTACGGCGTTAATTAGCATTGTCATGGAACACGGAAGATCTGTTGCAATAAAAAAATCCTACTCATGAAGCTCTTTTTAACAGCGTCCTGATTAGTATAATAAGTAGTATTATTTATGGATCAGAACCTTGACTAAACCCCGGAGTGTTACTTTATTTGCTGATCAACCCAGACCATCCATTCTGTGCCAATAGTCTAATGATCCATTTAAACCCCCGGACTCCATACAGTACCCGCTCGCCACGGTACCTTAGCATTAGAGTTTCATACATGAGCACATAAGGTTGAGAGATCCGCTTATAGATGGGCTCCCGCTCCAGGAAATCCTTTTCCATCATTTTATTGCTCAAGCTAGGCCAACCTGCAGAACTCAGATGCAGAGAGCCCTAAGCGAGAAGTACCATACTAGGAGAGTCCAGGTATTCACCGTCCACTTTACAATGACCAACGGGTTATTCATCTTACTATTTAAATACTCAGCGGCAGGGTCCAGGCTGGTCCGTCTGTAGTCTAGACCGTGCCACTTTCTTTGTTGTCTTTCTAGGACTTCATAGTCCATTATTCTTCATTACGGGACCACGGGTTGCCAAAGTTCCGTGGAAAGAGACACCTCATGACTATTTTGGGATAAACTATGGACAGCTGAGCGGACATCCTTCGGTCTTCGGGAGGAAAAGATCCCGCTCATTCATGTAGTACAAAGCGAACCGAGATGGAAATCCAGTCTTTTTCCGAAGTGACGCTGCTGCGGAGGTGTTTTATCACTTCACCGATTGGGTACAGGGCAAAACTCGTCACCCTTTGCATCGTCACCGTGTCATCAATGAATCAGTGACCGGTCTTATATCGCCTCACTAGTGAAAAGGAAGACCCTCCTTGCCTCCTACTACTTTTCCATACCTCTCCCCTTCGTTAGATTAATGACCTCAACTGTTCCTTCCTTTTACGTCACTTTCTTTTCTGTCTTTCATACCTCTTATTCCCATCTCATCTCTATCGAGATCCTCTAAGTCAATAGATACAATGCAGGACAATAGACTACAAGACACTCTTGGCTCACCGCCACATACCAGTTCTGTATCCGACAACATGTCAGTGGAGGGAAGGCCATCCATAGAAAAAGGGAGTACACTGGCAGGCTCACAGGGAGAGCCACCTGCGTTGGCCTCAGAAGCGAAGGATGAAAACACTATATCTGTGGCGAACACTAGTCCAAGCGATGAAGCACAGCAAGAGGAGGAAGAAGAGTATCCAAGCTCTTGGAGGCTTGGCCTGATTACCATCGCATTAGCCCTTGCCATCTTCTGTCTGGCATTGGTAAGTCCATTAATTCACTACTTGCCGGCAATAAATGTTACGCATGACCTTCGGATGACCATTCTTACTAATGATCTTGGCTTACTTAGGATAACACCATCATTTCCACGGCAATTCCGAAGATCACAGATCAGTTCAAGTCCCTTGAAGATGTGGGCTGGTATGGCAGCGCATACCTCCTGACAACGTGTGCATTGTGCCTGACGTTCGGCAAGCTATATACCTTCTACTCCACAAAATGGGTCTACTTGATGGCTCTCTTTGTTTTCGAACTGGGATCTCTGATCTGCGGGATCGCGCCGAATTCGTTAACCCTGATCATTGGCCGAGCCATAGCCGGCCTGGGGGCAGCGGGACTATTTTCGGGGGCACTCATTATCATTGCTCAGACGGTGCCACTGAGCCGACGACCAATCTTCGCCGCGATGATGGGATCAATGTATGGAATTGCAAGTGTGGCAGGTCCCTTGATGGGTGGCGCGTTTACGGACCATCTCAGTTGGAGATGGTGTTTTTACATCAACTTACCCTTTGGCGGAGTGACTGCTTTCTTTATCCTTTTCTTATTCAAGGCGCCCAAGTCCGTCAAGGACAAATCCGGCTTCAAAAACCAAATGGCACAACTGGACTTCCCTGGAACTGTCCTCTTCATGCCATCAATTATCTGTGTATTGCTCGCGCTACAATGGGGAGGCACTATGTATGCCTGGAGCAATGCTCGGATCATCGCTCTTTTCATTGTTTTCGGGATCCTTCTCATTGCCTTCTGCTGTGTACAGTGGTGGCAGCAAGACAAGGCTACGGTACCTCCACGGCTGGTCAAGAATCGGAATGTATGGGGAGCTGCAGCTTACAGCTTCTGCGTCGGTGGAGCATTTTTCATATTTGTCTACTATGTAAGCTTGTACCTCCCACGGATCACAAGAGACATTTGCTAATTTGCGCATTCATAGCTTCCCATTTGGTTCCAAGCGATAAAGGGTGTCACGGCAACCAGGTCGGGCATAATGAACCTTCCGTTGCTCCTTCCTATGATTGTTGCCTCCATTGCTGCTGGTGCTTGTGTCACTCTGGTTGGATACTATACACCGTTCATGATCGCCACGCCGATTCTCATTTCAATTGGCGGTGGGCTTTTGAGCACGTTGAAAGTCGATTCAGGGGATGCTGCATGGATTGGGTATCAGGTTCTATACGGAATTGGCGTGGGCTTGGGTATGCAGCAACCCATGATTGTGGTTCAAGCCGCCCTCCCAATTGCCGATGTCCCCACTGCGACGGCTTTCGTCATGTTCTCCCAGACACTGGGAGGCGCGCTTTTTGTCTCTGTCGCACAGAATGTCTTTCAAAACCAACTGCGCAAGAACATTCTTACCAAAGCCCCTGATGTTGATGTTGCCACGGTGGTTGGCGCCGGGGCAACCATGCTACGGCAGGCTGTATCGAAGGACATATTACCTACAGTTCTCGAAGCCTACAACGACGCTATCACCCAGACATTCTATGCTGCAGTGGCTATAGGGGCGATAGGCCTCTTTGCGGCACTTCCTATAGAGTGGCTGTCCGTAAAAGGCAGGAAAGTTGAGGCGATGGCCGTTTAAGAACGTACTATTTCTAGGCCTTGCTTAAAGGATGGGGTTACGCTTCGCTTCATGCTAAGCATACTGCAGTTTACAAGTTCTGTTTAATATGGCTTACTGCCTCTTTGTCATCATGGAGAATGGGGAGGTTCCACGTCTGGTATTCGGTGAAGTGGACTTTTCTTGTTCTGTTAGGCTATGTATATACGGATTCTTCCCTTGCATGGAAATAATTAATAGAATCTATAACTTACCCTAGTGCTAACGATGTGAAATCTAAAACCAGTACCGGACGTTTCAAACAACCGCATAAAGACTCAAATAAATTCCCCAGATAACTCCACAGGCGCTCCCAAATACCACTCGTCGGTCCACAGGAACAACAGTATACATAAGCGCCGACACAATAGGCCGAAACTTTAGACGAGCTATCATGATGGGACCAAAATCCTACTCTTGTCAGCACCGCAACGATATGCTCCCAGAAGAGTAGGCAAGAGCGAATACAAAAGAAAAGAAAAGAAAAAGGGAGAAAGGCAGAAAGGCAGAAAGGCAGAAAAAGGATACCTTACCTCACAAACCAACTCCCAAACCCTCCCCCAATGCGACCCCTTCAACAGGTTGATCAACACAATGAATAAGAGAATGTTACACACCCCAGCAATAGTTTGATCCAAGAGGAACTTCACAGCAAAGTTCCACATCCCAGATCTCTGCTGTTTCGGCTTGAATGGCTTCTCCTTCGTTGGCAGGAGATCATCGGGATCAGGCACATTGTTGCTGTTATTTCTCTTCCAGCTGGGAAAACCCGGAAATCGAGCTTCGATGTATCTCTGCCAGGAGAAATTGGGCGGCACGATAATGGCACCGTATGTGATGAATTGGATGAGTGCGATGGTGTTCAACGCCAATGGCTTCTTTTTTTTTGGATGATTTCTGTTAGTAAGTGGGGAACCCTTTCAAGTTATTGTATTCATACCAGGTCATTGAGGGTAGGTAGTAAGTAATTAGTAGGGGAGGAGGAGGAGGAGGAGGAGGAAGAGGAGGAGGTAGTTGGTTGATTGGTTTTGTATAGGTGTGTTTCAAGAGAACCAAGACACCACCACCTCTACACGGATCATGGGAAATAAAGAAAAAAGTAGTGAAAAGTAAACTTCTACGTACGTTTTCTTTGTACTGGTCTATTAACTGGGCCAGGACATTGGAGATGGCGTTGAGGATCGTGGATTGGATCAGGGTCACTGTCAAGGGGGATGGGGGCATTGTATTGTATGTATTGTTTTCCTTTGGATGATGATGTTCAGGAGGTGATGAGCATCATGAATTTCTGGGGGGTTTGGATTTTGGAAGAATGGTGTAGGTGAGATATGTATATGTATATGGTATTATTGGGTGATAAATTGATATTGTTTTGTTTTTTCTTCTTTTCCTGCTCTGTGTCTTTTGTTTCAAGGGTTTCCTTCATTTACTTAAGTTGTTTGATTTATTTTACCCTTTTGGATTTGTTGCACGTGTTGGGCACGTGTCCTGTTCGCAGGAGTTGGGAAATGAGTGTGACTTGTTTGTTTCCGGTGTGCTTGGCGTTTGGGATATTCTTCCCTCTCTCTTTGGTTTAATTGGAACTAGGATTGTTTGTTTTACTTGGGTCTTTGTTAATAAGAGGGGGGAGGGTTGGTGTTATTAATTTGAATGAATTTGCAATGCGCTATACATAAATCGAACTTCGTTAAAAAGGCCACATACATCGCCTAGACGGTTAAATCCCTCCGGCGGACCGTCACATTCGGCCCCTGCTTGGCGCTGGTGAAATGATCCACTAGAGCCAGATGGCCTTTCTCATCCTCTCCCTGTCGATCGGCTAACTCCATGTCAAACAGGAACATTAACCGCGCAATGGTCAGTCGCATTTCCATGAAAGCCATGCCCTTGCCAATACATCCGCGGGGCCCAATACTGAACGGGCAGAATGCTCTCCGTGCAGTCTCAACAGCATCCTTGGTGCTCTCCCACTTATCATCAGCGGTTACGCATGTTGCCCCCTCAATCCATCTCTCGGGCAAATACGCCTCAGGTTCGCGGTAGTACTGGGGCTGGCGGTGGATGGAGTAAGTTGGGGTCCCACAGTCCGTGCCGGCGGGTAAAAAGGCCCCGTCGACGACGGCGCCGCCCTCCATCACCTCCCGCGGAATGGCCCCCGGAACGGCGGGTGCCAAGCGCAGCGCTTCATCAATGCAGGCTTTCAGGTAAACAAGCTCATTCAATTTGCCGCCGGTGACGATCTCCTCGACTGAGGTGAAGGCCTCACGGACTTCCTTTGTCAGGAGCTTCATGGCGCGCGGGTTGCGGACGAGGTAGAAGATGGTTGCTGCGAGCGTGGTGGAGGTGGTGTCGCTGCCTGCGATCATGAGGACGTTGGCTTCGCCCCAGAGCTCGGGCGTCGTAAGACCCTTGCCCGTCTCGGGGTCCTTGGCGTTGAGCAGGTAGTAGAAGAAGTCTTTCTTGGAGTCGTGGCCTGCCTGCGTACGCTCCTGGGCTCGCTTGTTGGCCTCTACGCGCGAGTTCATGATGAAGTTCCATCGGTCGTTGGTGAGTCGGTGAATGACGATTTGGTCCAAGTGCCAGGTATCAAGGGGCATCCACAGACCGCACTGGTTGATGTTTGTCAGAAAAGGGGGCTATTCTCGGAGAAATCCGAAGTCGTTGTAACTCACCACATAGTGACGGTTGGCCGCGCGATCAACAAGCTGAATCATCTTTCTGCGGCCACTAGAAACCAACATATCGAAACTCTTCCCGAAGCATAGTTCACCCATGACATCGTACGTGAGGTAACTGAACCAATTGCCCATATTCTGGACGGTAGTCTTCTGTGCCTCAACCTTGTTACCGTCCGTCTGCTGCCCTGCCAGGGCTGCGCAAAGCTGGCGAACATGCAGCAACATGACATCCTCCATGCTCTTGAGAGCGTGATCGGAGAAAGCCTGGCTCAGGACCCGTCTCTTCCGGCCATGGACCGTCTTATCAATCACATTGTGCGTGTTATACACGCCCTTGATGGCAGTGAACCCATTGTAGAAATTGGCTTTTTTCAGCTTTTTCCCATGGCCATAGATATCATGCAGACCCTGCGCGGAGTTGATGGAGACAAAATTCGGCGCAACACGGACATGCGATCCATACTGCTGATGCAGATTATGAAGCCACAAATGCCGGTCCCCCTTCAGGCCATGATACAACTGCACCCAGGGGGTTATCGATGCAAGGAACGGACCGTTAAATTTCCGAAGAGGATGCAAAAAGCGGTTGTAAATGACATATGCAAAAGACTATGCGGCCGCAACAGTAAGCAACTCCGATGACGTACATATGCACATCCGATACACCACCAATAGAACAACAAGAGAGGAAGAAAAGAGGTAGGATATGGAACGTACCAAAACACCCAGCAAAGCAGACACCCCCACCACAACCCCCTCAATCGATAACGTCTTCCACACCTCCTGGACGAGCATATTGCAACCCTACTACCCCCTCCACAGGTACTATGGAAACTAACGTAGACCTTCCGTATCCGGAACGGTAGCCGATACAAGCCGAGTCCAACCGAACACCGGTTCCCCCGCAAATGTTCCTGGCAAAGGAAGGAAGTAATATGGAGCTTGGTAATAGGACCAGGTTCACTGGTAGAGCAAATAAATTATCTCTTTGATTTGGGGCTATGGTAGGATACCATTTCCATTCTCCTCTGCCCCCGTATATATACCTCTCTCGAGGCTCGGTTAGAAACGGACCTACTTCTGTTTGGGTGCAAGGGATGGATGAGGGTGTCATACGTATGTCAGCTTTTGTAAGAATGGCGGTTGCGTTCTGGTTTCGGTTTTCTTTACCGTGGTGCTCGTTGGGTTTATTTTTAGTTGCGGGAGAAACGTGTGTGGAAGTTTACTATGGTTGCTGGTAGATAGTGTTTTTGTTTTTGTTTTCTACGCGTTGTTGGTTTGATATACTGGTATTTAGTTGAGTATGAGTGTAGCTTGTAGGTATGCACATGTGATTTCTCTATTATTGTTTAGGGCTTATCTGGTTGTACCTAGGATGCTATAGCTGGTATCCAATTGATAGCCCTGGTATTGGACCTGAAACCGGAGCAATGATCTTCTCGAGCACCGCTTCTATCCGAGTGCCTTTTGGTCCCACATAGATCACTGACTGTTTGTCTTCACCGATAGATGGGTAAATAAGTGGGTACTGGGTCAGCTGTGAACCCGAAGTCCCCATTCACTGGGGGGAGTAAACTGTGAGGTCTCGCGGCTATTTCGTATGGTTGTGTTTCTGACAATCCAAATGGTTCCCGACAGGGAATACGCTGATGAGAGTCGATGGCCGTAAAGCTGGTCGTGTTTGTGTAATGTACGAGCATCCCTTGAGCAACCATCAAAACACACGGCCCAATCTAAGAGTGTCCATGTAAGCCGCCGTCGAGGATCCATTGCTCATTGTCGTCGTTGTCATCCTGGACTCGTCGCCATGTCTGTTTCCGTTCATTTTGCGGTCTCGCTTCAACCGGCTTACCGTCTGGTCCCTTCCAGACAGGTCGCATCAAACCCCCCGCCGCAAGAAGAGGATTCCGACTGAAGGCTTCACCGCGACGTGGCTTCGTAGATTCATCTGCCGGTTCACTAGCCTCAGGCTCGGGCTCGGGTTCTTCTTCCGCAGGAGATCCCGAATCAGCAGGACTAGCTCCAGCAGATTGATACACACGAGTAACTCTCCCGCCCTTGATATCTAGACTCATGATGGTCCTCTTCTTCTCCCATTCCGGACGGGCCTTTTCTTCCATCTCGCGCAGTATCTGCTGCTGCTTCTTCAAGGCGAGAGCCCGTTGCGCAGGACTCATCCACAGCGTCGACGCCACATTAGGGGTCTCGAAGTCCGCCGCCTCATCGACAACACGCGTCCGCTTGGCGTTCTGCGCCTGGAACTGAAGTAATTTATCCCGGTGAGCCATGGCAGCGTTCAATTTGCTGGAAGAAGCCGAAGGCGAGGGGCCCTGCCCTGGTCCGCCCTCGCGGTGTACGCTCTCGTTATGCGCGCGCATCTTCTCCTGGCCTCGTTCTGCTCGCAATTCCCGGATCATGCTCTGCACTTCCTCATTCGATAGCAGGGGGGTACCGCAGAACGAACACGGCTGGAGGCCTTCTAGGGAGCAGATGATCTTGCCGCAATTGAGACAGTTCGGGGCGGGGGCGAAAAGCGGGTGGATGGCAGCGAAGCAGGAGCATTTCCGGGATTCGTTGCTCAGGGTTGGGTTCGTGGATACTTCTAGTGCGGCGATTGCGGCGGTTAGATCGGAGATGTTGGTCGTGGTTAATGAGTTCTTAGACTGGCTCGTAGTGGTGTTATTACTGTGCCGTGTAGCAGAGGACTTCCCGGCCTTGGATTTAACGTTCGGTAACAAGTCCGAGAGCATAGGCCCCGATGCAGAGGGCGGCGGTTTGCTCGAGCTTTGTTTCGGGGCAGGTGAATGAGCCCGCGACGAGGCAGCAGACGAATCTTCGACCGATAGATGCGACGACCGTGAAGCGCCGGTATCTTGTTTGGCTCTAGGCGCCGGTGCCATGTAATCCTCCTCTAGATCTGCCTTTTTGTATCCACCTGTGACATCTCCGAAGTTATCGGGCCGGCGCGGGGGCCCGGCACTGTGTAGTGGTGGTTTCGACTTCTTGCCCTTCTTTTGCCCCGCTGCTGGATTCCTGGAGCTTGTTGCTGTAGGTGTGGATGAGGAGGATGCATCGGAGGCTGCTGGTCGTCGAGGTGTCGGGTTGCGTCGCGAACTGAAAGCGGATATGAATTCGAAGGCAGCGGGGGAGTCACCTAAGAGGTTCTTGAGATGATCGGCACCCTCATCTTTCGGTAGACTGGCGGCGTAGGTGATGATCTGCGTGAGTGATTCTTCGTCTAGTGGGAGGATTTGCGAGATGTGAGAAACGCCCCAGGAGATGAGGCTGGGGTCGGCCATGGTTGGGAATAGGAATTATAATGACGGATTTGAAGAGTATAGGTAGGAAGAGGGAGGATGGTGGATACGGCCCTCTTTGGGGGAACTTCGATGTAGCTGGTGGGGAGTGGAGGAGCTTATGGAGTCATGGTGTGGATAGAAGTAGTCGCCTGAAATATCAGGCAAGATATATACCCAGGACCGGATCAATATCTTGACTCATCTGGGACGAGATAGTTGTGGTAATCTCTATAATGTATATTTCTAAGATAGAAAACTAAGCCCCAGAAAAGATAGCCGTATCCATTGAGATAATGCCAAACCCTCGTACTGACTATCAAACTTAACCTATTGTACATATACACCGGCATGATCATCTATCCCTGAAACAAAAGAGGACGAAAGCAAAGGAGCGGTGCTGATTCTGTCAAACCATGACAAATGAAAGAACTGAAGAGAAGTAATATAATGTCGAGAGGTCCCAGACTTTTCGACTAATAAGAGTAAGTCCTGTTGACGCCTTTGATGCCGAGTATTTACGTCAGATCGTTAAAAGGAGACTATGTCCAAAGCCTCGTCTCCAGTGCAGACACACCCATATTGCCCGTGAGAAGCAATACAGAAGTACTGCAGAAGCTATAATTAAGGAAAGAAGAATAAGAAACTATGCATTGTCGCCATTCGGTTCGCTTTTTATATTGCCGTCACCAGCGGCTGCAGCGTCCGCGGCAGCCGCCATGTCAGGCGTCACACCATTCTTGAGTTTGCTACTGGGAGCCGGTGGCGGCTTTTTCCCTGACAGCTTCTTGGGAGCACCGAGCTTCTTTTTCTTCGTTATAGTTGGCGGGGTGTCGTCATCTAATGGACGTTTGGGCGGCGCAGAACTAGGAGTGCTGGTACCGTTTTCCATGGGCGTTTTGTTTCGGTTGACTTGTCGGCCTGATAGACCGAGACATCGGTCCAAGTGTTGTGCCACTCGCGTCACAACAAAGTACCTTGGGCAATTTGGGCACTTGACCGTCGGAAATGATACTTTCTCTGGAGCCGCTTGCTTAAAGGAACTATCCGGTGTTGTAGGCGGGCTTGACGCTGGCGTATTTGAAGTGTTTGTCTGTTTCTTCTTCTTAGGATTCAGTTTGTCTGTAGCGAACGGATTCCCATGAACGTCATGCCCTGGTTTGCTGATCATCGGTTGCTTTTGGCAATATTCTCGATATGGATCCGGAGGGGGCCGTGCTCCGACCCCAGTCACAGGATAAAGTAGGCGTGGCAATCGGCAGTCGGGACAGATGATTTCTTTGGTAGTATTAAGCGGGTTTCCCTTGAGATAAACCCTCCCATCTTCAAAGATCGCCCCATCCGTCTCAACACGGATGTCCTTGAGTTCTTCGAAATCTTCGCCCGGTTTTAACGCAGTGGGTTTGGCACCTGCTTCTTCTCGGCGCCTGCCAGCTTCTTCTTCGGCTTTCTGCCTGGCGATTGTGACAGCAGAACGCATTCGAGCAACCTTTTCATCCCGATGGACTTTTGACACTATGTCATGGATAATGTTATAGAACGTGTTGTTGAGAACGTCACATGTCTAGGTAATTCTGTCAGTTCCTTGGCCTTCAATCTATATGGCTTATCACTGTAGCCAGCGAGAAGACGGCACAAGTCCAATATAAGGAACATACCAGCTTCGCAATAGTTCCCGAAGGAAAGGAGCTTTCTTGCTGTTCTGTTCCATTCGATTCGCCCATTTTCAAGATGCCTATGTTGCAGATTTGGAAAGTTAGAAACCGGACCGCAATCAAAACAGTATAGGGATGTGATTTATCAATATGTGAAATTGTTGAGTGAATCACGAAGGTTTGAAGGTGGGCATCTAGAGGGCTGAGCGCCATAGGACACAGCTTCTAAAGCACTCTTTCGTTGGAGAAACACAGCGGGATACATGCAATATGGCTTAAGTACGATGCCAGTGTTTACTTCCAACGATAGGGTTGGGGCAATAGGCGTAGATCACTGGCTTTGTGGAACGCACCTTACTTTGCGAACTAACCCTAGTTCGCAATACAATTGTTCCAGGAGGTCGCGTAGCAGTTCCGATATCTCTTGGACCTATTAGAACAGCTCCATGTACTGTTAAGTATTATATCACGACGAATATCAGATCGCGGCAAGGCGATCGCGCAAAGGCAAAAGGAAGTTGAGGTCGCAAGACAGTCCTTCTTGGCCCGGATTGAACGGAGTATACGAGGAGCGTCACAGAAGGATCAATCGAATTATAACGATCAGGATAATAACAAAGAGAGGAAGCGGCTAATAGGATCCATCTGTCAGTCGATAATATATAGGTTTCTCAGCCTGGGGCGGGTAACACTCCACGGTAGGGAGAGTCAGTGAATGACCAACACAGCTCACAAGGAGGACCCACTTACCTGCTTCACATTAGACAGGTGGTATATATATAATAAGAGCGGAACGATATGGGAAGTTTGGAATATCGATAGCATGCGACAGAACTCCGCAGTCTAGTCCAAGGTATCCTTGGTGTGTAGTGGAGAGGACAAAAGGCTTCTGCGCTGGCCTTTCACTTGCCTTCTCCGACCGGCCCATCTTATCTTATCTCATCTCCGCGTTCCTCTTCGCTGTTTTCGTCCATCAAGCGGACCGTACGACTTTCCCCTCTTTAACTGCAACGCCAGGTAGACTTTTTTTATGATTCACAGAAGTGGTCAACGTGCTGAAAGAACTGGGCATTTCACAGCATAGCGCGTACCTGCACACCTCTTCATTTACCATGGCATACCAGTTCTTCGCAAAGGCGCATCAGTCGAAAGCGCCGACTTCTCCACCACTCTCCCCTCCATCCTCCTCTTCCTCCAGCAACAGACACCCCAAACCTCCTATACACCCTCCATCGCTGGTTCTCCCTCATTCTGCGACCTCTACCAGCATCGCAGAAAGGGTCAAACCACCAACAGGCAAAGACTCGTCTTTCCACCCCCCCGCATACCCCCATCCCATCGCACCCACTTACAAAACCCCGCACCCTCATGTTACCATCGAATCTGTGAGCACCGCTCACATACCCTCTCTAATCCGGATCACGGGCTTGCTTCTCCCAATACGCTACCCAAACTCCTTCTACACAGCGACCATCACAGACCCCGTGATCGCGTCGGTGTCACGCGTGGCCATTTATCATGATCACCCGGGGGCCGCGGCGCCAGCCTCCACTTCATACGCTCCCACATCCGCGTCCCCGCTAGGAACAAGCACGGGGACAGACAAAGTGATCGGAGGAATCAGGTGTCGCTTAGAGCGGCTCCCTCCAACCACTGCCGAACTTCTCCAGACCCAGTCGAAGCCCGGTTCGCAGGAGCCGACAAATCTCTACATCCAGACCCTGCATCTGCTTTCCCCATATCGGGGCTGCGGTGTTGCGGCTTCGCTTCTTAACTCATTGCTCTTCTCTTCTGCCCCTTCATCTTTGTCTTCTAGCTCGCGGTCTACTTACCAGGTCTCGGAATTAGTGAAACACTACAACGTGCGCACTGTCACGGCACATGTGCATGAAGCCAATGAAGAAGGTCTAAAATGGTACATCGCGCGCGGCTTCCAGGTGGAGGAGGGCGTGGTTGAGAATTACTATCGGCGGTTGAAGCCGTCCGGGGCAAGAATTGTCAAGCTCGTTCTGCAGTGGAATGACGATGCCAGTGACGAGGCTGCGAAAGTTGATGGGACCCCTGCGTCTAGCCAGTCGGCGGAAGACAACCGGAAGAGCCCGGAAGAGGATGACGACTGGGAAAAGGTCGAAGCGGAAGATGGAGAAGACAATGAGGATCACGGCGTACAACCGTTCACAGACTCTAAGATCCTTGAGGTTGATGATGGTGTGAACAGGAAACGGAAGGCCGACGACGAGCCTCAGCGAGCATGATCCTACCTTCCACTTGTTTATTGGCGGTGTTGAATGGAGTTCGCTTGTCTATTTGTTCTTCTCTCTGCTCACCTATTTAGGATACCCTTCAACTGCTGCGTCTAAGAGATGTACAGATCTTTCGTTCAGGTTGTTTGTCTGCTTAGAATTGTATACACTGCATATGTTTCGCTCTTAGAATTGATTATCAAGAGACATAGAGTCGTGATTAGAGACAGAGCACGTATATTCAAATATGCTTTATATTAAATGACATTCATATGCATTTATGTTCAAGGGTATAGAACTGTACAAGTTGGGAGTTGCTCCCAACCCACAAACAATCATTCGGGCATTGACAATGGAGGGAGGAAATCTACAGTCACACAGCAACTCAGACATACATAACGCGAGTGCAACTCGGGAATCAGACATTGTAGTTCTCAGCATGCAGGAATATCTCGTCTTTCGACGAGTCAGTCATGACCTGCTGCTGAAGCTGAGCAACGGTGCTCGATACTTCAATTCTCATACTAGGAGGCCCACAGACAAAGATGCAGGTACGACGACCAAACGTCCGAGAGTATTCTTTGAGTACCTGCGGGATATTGGGGCGGGCGTAGTCGATACGCCAGCCATTCCTCTGCAGCGGAACGGTGCCGACGCGGGTGGTCAGTTTGGGAAACGTTGTTGACGAGGGAGGAAGGCCGAAGTTAAACGGAGTATCTACTGGGCTCAGTTGAGGTGCAGGATACGGTGCATGTTGATAGTTGTTATCCATTGAGCTGTTGTAGTGTCTGCTGGTATTGATGTGTGGGAGGGTGTGGGCCTTGGGAAGCGCAGTAATGGCATCTTCATTCTCGCGTCGAAGCTCCTTTTCAATCTCCGGGTCCCCAGCTGCTTCTTCACGGATGTATGCCGAGTTTCGCTTATCCATTCCCTCTAGTGTGCTGTACATTTTATCTCTGAGCATCTCCTGGTAGAACTGGTTTTGGGCCAGTTGGGCCTGACCGTGTGGCTCTAGTCCAGTGAGGAAGAAATGACAGTGAACTGTGTTTGGAGGTGCGAAATCCCTGCATATTCTCAGTTCCTCTCTGAACCAGTCGACTGTTTCGGGGTTCCTGAATGCCCAGATGACCCGCACCGACTTAGTTACTGCTTTTCGGTCCCGCATCTTCTTGATCAGATTCAAGAGGTGACTGGCAGTTGCAGTTATACCACTTCCACCGGCGAAGAAGACCACATCATCAAAAGCAGCCATGTCTCTTTTCATCCCTCCGTAGGGGCCCTCCAAGAATGCTGTCCAGGTCTTGTAAGGGCCATACTCGAAAGTCTTTAGAAAAACATTACGAGTAAACCCTCCGAAGGGACGGAAGACAAGAGCCAAGTCACGATAATTCTCGCCATACTCTGAGGGGAAATCGCCACTACACAAAGATGAGATCGTAAAGGGGTGACGTTGAAAAAGTGAGATTCCCGGCATACGGAGATAGACAAATTGGCCTGGTTTCCATTTCATCTGAGTCGCAACCGTGACTTTGATAGCGTTCTGTGGGAGTATAGTCACTACGCATTCTTCACCGATCAAGAAGGACAACCGTAGGGGGTTGCTCCAATTGACATAGAACAACCTAACTGCATAGGAAAGTAGCCAGATCGCAACCGTAGCCCAAAGATAGTCCCATGATGCCAGGAAGTTTTTGCTGTGCCAAAATATCATGGCGAGAAAGATGACTGAAAGGGGAAGGTGCACAAGCTTGAAAAGCTCATACATCCAGGCTCGGAGTATTGGCAGCGAATGCAAGCAGAGGACTATGAGAGGCGCCAGTGCCGCCCAGCCGGTGCCGTAGATATAGATGTTTCGGGGAAAGTATTGCTGGTAGTATATCAAGTTCTTGCTTTCCCAGATAGGTGTAACATAAAACGGAACCATATGGATCAAGCTCAGGAGTAGGCAGAGGTAACCCGCCCAACGATGAAGAACATTCAGCCTCTCGTGGCTAATTCCAGTTAAAATGCTGATGAAGTTGGCACGGGTGCTGAGGGCAATGATCCATGGAATCATAGCCACCGCAATCATGCCTGCACGGATCGCCAGCGGAGGAGATCCAATTGAAATCGAGGAGTAGTAGAGCGGCTGTGGGACAAAAGAATAGAGAGTGACGAATATCAGGGCCACAAAGATAATCGAGGATGCTCCCAGCGATGGAAAGCTGACCCGCAGTTTGCCTATACGTAGCATAGGGATAGGCCTATAGAAGATCCATCGTACGAAAGCAATGGTGTTGTTTAGTGGCGCAATGGTGGAAATCGACGATTGCTGTTTCGTGGTATTGGTACTGGGCAGGGGGCCACGAGCTGGAAAGAAGTGCGCAGTGGAGCTGTCAGTAGCAGCACTTGGCAACTCATATTCTTCCTGGGGAGAAGTGACATATGGCGATGTTCCAGTCGTATCCTCTTTGTGTAATGCGATCCTAATTTTGTCACCCCAAAGGTGATAGAACCGTATAATCGTTGAGATTGCGAGGAGAATCACAGAGAAATAAACCCAGCCAAGTCCATATTTTCCTGCTTGAGGCCAGGCATCCCGTTGCATCTCAGCAATTTCTGCTGGCGTTGTGGACGCAACAATGGGGATATCGATCCGCTTCACAAGGGAAGCTATTGAATGCCATCCTGGCAGCATAGTGCTTTGCCTCTCTGAACTGGTAAATGAAATATGGCAAAAGCACTGGAAAGCATTCAACGCTGCATCTGTTGGCTTGGGGTTTAACGCGACATACAGTTACTGGCCGTGAATGTAAGCTGTGTGGAAAACTAGAGATGATCGACGTGGGAGGGGATGGTCTAGATAGAGGACAGAGAGAGAGAGGAGATCAGGAAGGAACACCGATCATGACTAGCTGTAAACCTTACCAACATGTTGCCGGCAACCGATTTCTTCCCGGGCTCACTGCATTCGATCGTCAGTTATTGGATCCTGCATCAGCATGCGGGGGTAATGCCATGAACGTTGCAGCCGATCGTTGAGCTGTGATTCTGACCATTAAGCAGGGTGGATAGAGGTAAAAGTACATTCGGCATGGTTGCCCTTGTTCTTAGCATAAAGTCCATCACAATTCCCGACCAATGATAGTCCCCGAAAAGAGTGCCATTCTGCACTGTGTTTTTACGCTAATGCAAGAATTTTGCTTCTCGTCACTTACAACAACCCATCAACACTGCTGATTGGATGGGAACCCTTAGGGCCGGCGGTAAAGCAGGCGCTGTCACTCGATGAGAGCATCACACTTTGCTCAAATTCGCCGATAGCTTCGTCGACATCTACATGGCTTAAGAGCAGTTTCCTACTGCTTCCCAAGTCGTTTTCCTATATGCACAGGAAACGCGGAATTAGGGTTTGTACTCAACCGACCTTCCTACTTGTTAATCACTTTATCGTAGACAAATAAATGTAGGAGATAGTGAATCTAGGTATGTGTTCCCTAGAGTACATATTCTGTGGTTGATAAAAGTGCATCGCATGTATCGCATTTATCGCAGAGGCTGGATACATTCAATGTCGAGGTGCCCCCGTTGCCAACGAATACCGCAGTCCCAACACCATTCCTGCTGGCATAAGACACCTATCAGAAGAAATATCAGCAATCCTGCTATCGGGATATCTTGATTCCATGAGCGATACACGTACATGTCATATGCTTGCACCCTCCTGATCTTTCTGTGGCCACATTACAACCAGGGCAAGGCCTTGCTGTCTCTGCAATTGTCCGCATACTCATGGCCACTTGGGTGGACCAATCCTCTGGATCATGCCTCAGCGCATGGATTCTAGGAGGTATTTGATAGCTTGTCTGAAACTCACTACGTGCCTCGGGGTCATCACTTCTATGGCGAATGTACTCTTCATACTCCGAGCATGTCAAACCGTCATGCCAGACACTATGCCGATGTATGAAGCACGTCCGAGTCCCACACGAGCCGCAAACGACAATTGGATCTTCTAAGCCACCGGCATGTAACTGCCCATATCCGCAATCTTGTCTAACACAAGTGACAAACTCAGCATCCTCTTCTAGCATTTGCCGCGTTCGCAAGTGGTTATAGGCTTCGAATGTCCCTTTGCTAGCCCATCGCTGGACTTCGTCGTCCGACAGTTGCTCGTGGCAGAGTGGGCATGTCAGAGGCCCCAAAGTCGAGGAAAAGAGCTGTATTTCCAAACTCCGTTGAAGACAGTTTTTGCATATGTGCATCCCAGGCACAGTGGAGTGGTCGCAGCCAGCTGCGATCGGTGATTCTGGGTACGAATCATGCTTGAGATACCTAAAGCACACAGTGCAATTCAGATGGACTTGATCTGGGGTGCTTCCACCACTCCTAAAAGTATTGCTCGAAGGAGCTCGTACCGGCTCCTTACGGAGCAAAGAAAGAACCGCATCGGCTGTTACCGCATCGCTCCAGCAATATTCAGTCTCGTCAGGCCATATTATCTTGGACCTGGCCATCCCCGTATCATAGTCATCCCCCGGCGAATTATTTCCACTGTTCCTAGACACTGAGCCGCGATTTTGATAGTGATTGTAACATTGTCCAAGTGGAGGGCAGTGTGAGGATGATGGAGTTCCTTCGTCGGATATACCTGTTGCAGAAGGGGCGCTCATATTTCCCTGTGAGAGTATCGTGAAGCCTTCAGTTGCCTTCGTGCATAATTGTCCTCATAGTTTTGACACCAGTCATAGAATATAGGTATAGAAGATCCGCAGCAGAGCTCAACTATGGTGACATGTCCCTCAAAACGCAAGGGTATACCAAAATCGAACTTGCTTTGCTGAGTGAACACACTCGGGATGTTGTCCATACCGCAACCTGAACGTCTGTTGAATAATAATCTTTGGTGAGGTTGTCCGAAACCGTTCAACGAGCCAAGGAAATGCCGATATCCGCTGAATACGAGAACCAGATACCCAGATTAGGTCATTCTCTTCAGGCCTGCAGCACAGTTCTACACTTATTGATGGATAAACCATAAACCTTATCCGAGATATGCGGACTGAGGCCGTCCAGCTCTCGCGGGCGAGCCAAATCTGGAAATAATATGCAAGAAGCACCACTTGCGTTGGCGTTATACGTCCGAGAATAGACACAAAAACATTCCGATCAACACAAGACACGATCCTGAAAAATGTCTACTCGAGACCATGAACCTTATTGTCCTTGCTTGGCTCGTGATAGATGATGCAATCACGAGCAGAGTGGCTAGACGACTGTCATTCACCAGTGAGAAGCCTCCAAACCGAGTACCGCCGTAAGGCATGCCATAGTGCAGCATACGTGACATCGTGTTGCTTTTCCAAATTTGGCTTCTGCCCTCTTCGCTCGGACCAGATCAGGACTCCCGTTCGGAAACTAACGCGATCGACGGTGTCTCGTATTTATATATAGATCAAGTGACGATCCCATAAACACACACCTGAAAATATTAATTGGGCTGGCTATATACAAACGATCTAACATCAAGTCGTCTCTCATCGCGAGTATAGCTTCATGCTTTTGGGAAGTGCGGGGGTGCTTCTTTTGCAACCCGTATCTGAAAAAGGCTTGGAAGCTCTTTCATCGGGTTCCTCATTACTAGTATAACGCAATAGACCAATGTCTATTGGCTGAAAGGGAAACCCCCTCATAGACTGCACAGAAATGGCATACCTATCTAAATGAGATAGTAGGCTACGCTAGTAGTACAAGTAGTAGCAGCGTGGATGCAAGTGTTGTTGGTGGTTAAAATACTCCGGTCATTGGCTTTGCGTGACATTCACCGCCTATAATATATCGAAACTATTCTGCCGCCGAAAAATAAGTTGCAGCTTCTTTCCAGCGACCAACAAGAGCGACTAGATCGGGAAGTCTAACTAATCCCCGCATTCTACAATCTTCCCTGTCGGCTGGCCAAATCCGCCTGTGGATTATTTTCATTTAAGAATGGCTCCAGCCGCAGCTACAGCTGCGCAACCGACTCCTCCGTCTCTTTCTCTGCCCCCCTCACAGTTCGCGCGCCTTCAACCTCACGCTTACCTTCTTGCCCACTTATCACCTCCCCCATCGAGCAATCAGCCATCTATCCGAGCCAATGGCCGTGCCCCTTCACAGTTCCGTGTTACTTCTGCCAATACGGGCTCTTTGACTCATACGAATGGCAGCGCCGTAGTGAGACTCGGCGATACCACTGCCGTATGTGGTGTTCGTGCGGAAATCCTACACACAGAAGACATTGCATCGTGGAGCGTATCCCGACCACCACCAGCATCATCATCATCCACTCCAGCAAACAAGCGCCGCAAGCTAACGGATTATACGGCCAAGCCGAACGAAAAGCCTGACGACAATGACGAGGAAGACGCCGATGAATCGCACATTCGAGACTTCAACCTTCTAGTGCCTAACCTCTCACTGAGCACCGGATGTGCGCCAGGATTTATCCCGGGCGCACCTCCCTCGGCATTGGCACAGTCATTGTCCCACCAAATTCTCACATTGTTGCACAGCACACGACTAATTCGTGCGGAGGACCTACGAATTTGGTATCAGCCGCCCAATCTGGGGCCTGAGGAACTAGAACGCCATAATGAAAGTGAACAGATGGACGTAGATGCGCTCCAAGGAGAAGCGGATGCTGAGAAAAAGAAGGAGATCAAGGCTTTCTGGGTGCTTTATATTGATGTTATGATTGTTTCGCTGGCTGGTAATCCCTTTGATGCTGCCTGGGCGGCGGTCCTTGCCGCGCTTCGGGATACTAAGCTGCCCCGGGCGTGGTGGGATGTTGATAACGAAATGGTGGTGTGCTCGGATGCTGTCTCGGAGGCGCGCAAGCTGTCTTTGCAGGGACTGCCTATCTCGAGCTCCTTCGGTGTTTTCGAGGCTGATGCGGCTTCTGGGTGGAGAGCAGAGGTCATTCCAGATGCGGAAGAGGAGAGGGAGCTTGATGACAGCTCCAGGAAGGGTAACCAACGGAGGTGGATCCTGGCCGATCCTGACGGTTACGAGGAAGGGCTGAGTCAGGAGAGAGTCTGTGTCGTAGTTGACAAAGAGCAGGGCGGAAAAGGGAAGACCGTTGTGGTGAAACTGGAAAAGAATGGCGGATGGGCTGTGGACGCCAAAGAGCTGAAGGCTCTAGTAGACATATCCGCGCAAAGATGGGAGGATTTAAAACAAGTCCTTGAACAGTGCTAGAACTATCGTGTGATTGAAACAAATAGTGAAGGTTACGGTTAATGATACCAATTGAAAAGATTTGTCTTTATTCATGCTTCTCTTCATTGATTACAGCCACCGACCTAGCTAGGCAAGTAAATAAGACCTCGCCAAACTTGGTAGATCTAGTTGTGTTTTCACTGCGAGACTTAAAAATACATTGATATTCGTTTGGTACTCATTTAGCGGGCGAAGAAGTTGCGCCGGCTTTCCTGGGACTCCTTCGGCGTCGTTTCGCAGGAGGCTCATCCTCTTGCTCTGTTTTGCCAACAAAAGACCAATTCTCGTCATCAACAATAGATTTAACATCCTCGGTCGGGCTTTTTGGTTGATTAGACTCATCAGTCCTAGCCTTGTGGGGAATGTACAACGAGATCGTGAACAGTTCCATGTTCTTTGTATTAGCTCCTTTTGAGGATTCCTTTGGTTCTTCGTGGTGTTCACCCTTAGCCTCGGCTGAGCTTTTCTTCTCATCAGGGGCTTTAGAAGACGCTTCTGATTTTCTTCTTTTGTTGATATCTCCTGACAGGATGCGGCGGAAGAAACCGGCGTTCGCGGCAGGAGTGTCCTCCAGCTTCTTGCCTTGCTTTTCTTCGGCATCGTCCTCTTCCTCTTCAGCGTCAGAATATTCCCGCATCTCTTCGAGGTCGCCTTTGACAAGAGCAGTTCCCCACAGGGAAATCAAGACTCCAGGCACCAGGTAGAGAAGAGCAGGTTGGGGGTGGTCAAAGCATTGCATTATAATGAGCGTTACTAGTGTACCAACGATGTAGCCTATCATGCTGGCTTTAAAGTATGTCTTCGGGAAGGCCCGGGCATCGTGATAAGGGGGCTCAAGGGCTGACTGAGAGGGAGCGGCTGATGATACCCAGAAGCGCTCTCCCCATCCACCGGTTGCAGATTGGTACACGGGCTTAACAATCTCTTGTGTCTTGCCTTCTGCTTGAGCTTTCTGTAGTCCCTTTTTCTTGTAATAGAGATAGAGATCAAAGCGCAGCGCCAACCCAATCATCATACCCGGAACAATGATGTCGCCCAATCCAATCATGGCCAAAGAGATGGCATCTGGGGGAGCGTCGGGTGCTGCCGGGCGAGGGAAGACGAGCTTGATTGGAACATCCAGACCCTTTGCAACAGTTACCATCAATGGGGTGAAGTAAACGAAGTAGATATCGTAGAAAAATAACGAGCTCAGAATGAGTGATCCGGTGAGAAAACTAGATGGCGACATGAACTGCAGAGTGCCGTAGCAGAAGCTGAATCCCAGAAAATTAGTTAACCACCAAGGCTTCGTAACAAAAGTAAAATAGCCAATCGCAGGCAAAGCCAGGCCCAAGCTGAAGAGATCCAGAAGGCCAACTGAGCATTCAGTTTTGATAATGCGACGCAGAAGGACCCTAAGCTTGGCACGTTGGTATAACAAGTTGCGACAGGTCCAAAGAAGGTCGAGAACTGGCCCTGGTAATTGGATAGAGCCAAGGATGCCTGGAAGTGGAGAGTTCCGTGCTTCCAGAGATTCTGAAGTAGTTGAACCTTCTTGTACAACCGTGAAAACACGATCTGATTGCTTGACTTTCCATGTTTTGCCAGCTCTGCTATATCTCCGTGGAAATACAAAGGATCTGAGCACCGCAAGACTGTCTTTCACGAAAGCCGTGGCAAAGAAGAGACCCATCTGAGAGAAATAGAAACCCAGTATCTTATTCAATTTATCAGCCCCCATCCATTTCATCACAAGGTACAAGCCCCCAAGTGTGAGACCAGCAGTCAAAGGAAAAATTAGAGCATCACTGGGCGCAAGGCCTTCGACTCTCCGATCGTCATTCTTTTCTTCCTCATCTTCGTCTTCATCGTCCGATTCATCACCGTCTGCATCTTGGAATTTTTTGGGCGGTTCGGCTGCGGAAGACGGTCGCGAGAGTGAGGCGTGAGAAGCAATGTAGATAGGGAATAAAACTGAAACGAGCAGATGCCCGTATGTAGGCAAAAGAGGCTTCACGGCTGTGAACTGGTAGATCGCCTGACCCAAGAGTTCGGCGAATGGGCTAACCTCCGCCATATCGACTTTTGAGGAGCTAATCGCAAAGTATACGGTAGAATGCGATTCGGGGCTCTCGTAGCGTTGATCTAGGTTAGTAGGGTGTGCTGTCCAGTATCGTGTTTATTAATCCATGGCTGGAAAGTTGTGTTTATTGAAGAAAGAACAGAGACAACAGATTGCATCACATGGATCTCTGCAGCTCACTCATGCCAAGCCGGAGACTTCACTCCCCCGCCCGCAGCTTGTGCGCATCTTTCATTCCCATCTTTGCAGCTACAACTAATTTTCAATTACAAAAAATTCAAATATGGCGACTGACGTGGCTTTTGATACGAGCATGGTAATTAGAGCTGTCTAAACGATGAGCATCTTACATTTAGCTAATCCCCCATAGGGCTCGTTCACGGTAGAGCTTTATAATTCGCATGCACCAAAGGTCAGTAAACTATGTCCGCAGCGATCGCAAATACAAGATTTAGCTTGAACTAACTCCTGTGTTGCTTATAGACTTGTAAGAACTTTGCGACACTCGCGCAAAGGGGCTACTACAACAACGTCATCTTCCACCGCATTATTCCCAACTTCATGGTCCAGACTGGTGATCCCACCGGCACTGGTAGAGGAGGAAGCTCCATTTACGGCGAGAAGTTCGAGGATGAGATTCGTGCAGACCTCAAACACACCGGTGCCGGTATCTTGAGCATGGCGAATAGCGGACCAAATACCAACGGCAGCCAATTCTTCGTAACCCTTGCCCCAACGCCCTGGCTGGATGGCAAGCACACAATCTTCGGCAGGGTCAAGAGCGGGATGAGAGTGATACAGCGCATGGGACTTGTCAAAACAAATGGAGAAGATAGACCGGTGGATGAGGTCAAAATCATTCGTGCTAGGGTCGTTGAAGAAGGCGAAGAGTGAGATGGGGTTGGACTAAGATATCGTTGGCATCTCGAACAACAGGTGGTTGAGGTCTTAAACGATATCATTCCAGTCATCCATCCTTGGTAGACGACTCCTTGACGTTACTCGCTTGGATTCAAGCAGAGGTTCAATCTTAGGACAGCCTCAGCAACCTCCCTTTGGGAACACAGCTAGCGTATGCTTTGGGCCAATATTTGGATCCTAGTATACACGCCGAGCTGGGAGAACCTGAAAGAGGCTACTGCACTTATAGGCCTTAATTCGCGTTAATGGACAACAGCAGAGTTTTATCAACTACGATGCAGATAGACTAATGGAATGTATCACTACAAACGAACTGCTTCTATCAAATGTCACCATCCAGAGCAGCAGATACAGAGTGATTGGAGTCCTGTCTACCACTCCCATAGACGACATGACCAATGAAGGCATGTCTGAAAAGACGTACTGCCACGGTTGAGATAGCAGTATGCCTGTGCAAAGCACTGAGAGTGGTGTGTAAAGAGAAAGAAACTTCGTGCGCTGCAGAATCGATCCTTAAGTGGTTCGCGAAATAAGCTAACTAGTTTGGGTATAGTGCTTTGTCTGGGCATGGCCTCAAGACAGGGAGCTAGACTAGCTACAATATTACGGAGTATATGAAGCGACAGCTTTTGTGAGATCAAACCCAACTTGTGGCGTCATTATAAATTGTATCTTTAGTCTGGACTGCGAGATCAATCCCTTGAGTGAAGTCCGGGTGCTTTTCAAGATACATCCAAGATACAGACTAAGTATGGACTACTTCCATGCAAACAAGGCTAAAACGCGAGGTGATATTGACACAAGGTCCATGGCCTGCACTGGTATTGATCAGCCGTGTAGCTACTAGCATATATTTCGTAACCCACGGGTTAATAACAGCTATATCTCCTTGATGATAATACGTGATATCCTCGGTCATTGAACGAGCGGAGCTATTCTGTCACGTGACATACTAGCGGGTCTAATTATTTCTGCGTGTGTCCTTGCTCTTCTTTTTTTCATCTTCCGAGAATCCCCTCACTTCTTACACGGATGGTCGTCGACGCACCACCACCAATGGGCTGGAAGGTCCTTGCAAAGAGGGGTTCTACAGCTTGTCACCCGACGTGATGATAGTCGGAGTTGTCCATTGTAACTGCAGTACTTAACTTTTCTAGCTTTATCTGCTACACGGGCCATCATGGAGCCGCTTGCAGAAACGCCATGGGATGTAACAATCTCTGGCACCGGACTAGCCCAGTCCCTCTTGGCACTGTGAGTATAACTTTGTTTATCAAGTGTTTGTTGAAGATCACAGATGACTAACTGCTTGCAGGGCCCTATCGCGGTCAGGCAAGAAGGTACTCCATGTTGACCAGAACTCATATTATGGAGGTTCTGAGGCAGCATTTAGCCTCCAAGAGGCCCAGGAGTGGGCTTCTAAGGTGAATGGGGGTGAGTAGTCTTCTTGACGAAGGCAATACAACCTTCTAACCATGGTCGATAAGCTAGAACCTGAGCATTACCCTTTTGAGGATGCGACGGTATATCTTCCTGAAGGAACTCCCCAATTGCCAACACGGTCCTATACTCTCACCTTGTCTCCACACCTGATTTATTCCAAGTCCCGACTTTTACCTACCCTTGTGGCTTCCAAGGTATACCGGCAATTGGAGTTTCAGGCTGTAGGGAGCTGGTGGATACACAAACCTAGCAGTGCTGATGGTGCTTCGGTCTTGTATAGAGTGCCAGGTAGTCGCGAAGACGTCTTCGCGGATGACATAATAAGCGTCAAGTCGAAAAGGACCTTGATGAGGTTTCTCCGCCATATTGGCAAGCCTCCATCTGATAGCGATCCGGAAGCTGAGGAAGAAAATTTGGCTATGTCTCTACCGGAGTACCTAGCATCCAAGTTCCAAGTTCCTGCTGAGCTCCATGAGCCCTTACTATCCCTCTCATTATCGCAGGCTTCTCCTAGGCAGACGTCTGCTGAGTATGCAGTGCCTCGAATCAAAAGGCATCTTGCCTCTATTGGCGTATTTGGTCCGGGATTTGGAAGCCTGCTGGCGAAATGGGGCGGTGGTTCTGAGATCTCTCAGGTTGGCTGTCGCGCCCTCGCAGTGGGAGGCGGGGTATACGTGTTGAATGCTGGGGTTGAATCCATCTTCAACCATCAGTCTGAAGATGGTGATGATATGCGGGTTCAGTTGCATCTGTCCAACGATGAGACAATAAAAACCAAGTTATTGGTTGGTTCCAACTGGGATCTTCCCGGACAAGAGCATCCCGCCTGTGATAAAGTAGCACGGTCCATCACCATTGTCTCGTCCGCCCTCGAGAGTCTGTTCCCTGTCACGGCAGAAGGTGGGCCAGTCCCCGCCGGAGCAGTCGTGGTATTTCCGGGAAGCTCTTTTGATCAGTCAGATGATCTACCGCCAGTTTATCTCTTGATACACTCGAGCGAAACTGGCGAGTGTCCGTCAGGCCAATGTGAGTACAATCTCTTCTCCACATCAACCCAATCTCCATGGCTCATATGATGCACCTTTTTAAAATACTTATCTACATTGCCTGTAATTGCATTGATGAAAACCTATCAATCTGATCCTGAGCTTTTTTTTTTTTATTTGGATATGCACAATTACCGTTTGCAACCATGTTGCTAACTCAAATGTGTTAGGTGTCATCTACGGTAGTGTGAGCCATGCTGGTGCTCAAGGTCAGTCATTGATTGAGAGTGCTGTGCACAGACTTCTTCAGTCCAATGCGGAACCAGATGCAAAGGTCTTGTGGTCTCTCCGTTACACACAGTTAGGCTTAAGTAGCAACGGTGCCATTGCACGCTCATCTAAGTTCGAAGGGCCCTCATCCAATATCCTATGCTTTCCACCCCCTAGTCTGGACCTTGCTTTTGATGATGCATTGATCGACCGGGTGAAGGACGCATGGCAGTTAGTCATGGGGGATGAAGCCAATGAACAAGAGTTCATGAACTTCGAGGACCGGGAGCATGCCGATGATGAGGACTGATGTATTACTCATCGTAGATGTACAAGTAGATAGACAAACATGAATGAAATATATGTGGTACTGTGTCAATTTTATTGTCTTCGAGACTTGCGTGCAATATCGATATGCTAGGTTTGTCTCCCACAGGAATGTAAACAGGGCCTTTTTGAACTATATTCGGATGCTCTCGAAGTTCTTGCCAAGTACTGGACCCTGCATGACTCACTACTAATTCAATGTAGTACGCAATCAAACCGTTAGAAGTAGTACCGTCAATCATAGCCCCGAAACCTCCGGAGTAATTCTTCCATATCCCCCTCCCCGGCCGCCCAACTCCCGAAACAGGCCGCGTGAACAATCTTCGGATTAAGAGGAATCCATACGTCTCACCCATCGTCAACGCCTCATACCACCTGAAGACACATCGAAGAACCCACCACCTATCAAAACCCACTGATTCCCAAAGACACCCCGCACCGCGATACCACACACGTAATCGCACATCAAAAACAAAGATACTTGAAACGCGGAGGAAGTTTCAGCCCCACCTTCACAATGTCACAAAGTCAATCCAATTGTCATCCATCCTCTCCCATGCCAAGTGCCAAGTGCCAAGTGCCCAAATACTAAGTATGTATCATAATTAGGTCCTTTCTGCTGTTTAGGGGGTCTTCTTCTCCGATATTGCAAGGTTCCACTGAAACATGGATAATGTAACATGACGTTTCTGAGATCGTTTTTTTGCAGTTTTGGCCGGAGGGGTGTTTTTTTGCAGATAGGGAGTTTTTGGTTTTTGAGGGTTTGGGGAACTGTCAGTAGGTTCCGGCATCGATGCGTAGTGCGTGTTTATGCATAGTTGTCATTTGTGAAGTTAGGTATGAACTAGGACTAATGTGGTAGTTTGGTTTGGATCATGGGATAGACAGTGGCTATATCCATCTAGGATGATCCTCGATAGGAAGGATATAATGAGTATGTGAATGTGCTGGTAGCGAGATAGGAGCAGTGTAGGTAGACGAAGGATAGACTCTACTCAGTATGGCAATGTTGTGTGCATTCTTTCCATGGTAACTGGATACCGTGCCCTGACAGGGACCTTGTTATCCGCCATGGTCGAGTATTGACATTCCTGAGGATGCGAGGAGCAGTGACATATTTAGATTAACCTTTTCGGGATTGCATCGGTGGCTTGATACATGGTATTCAGGGTAAGGATCGTGAGCTCAAACATGATTCAGGTATAAAAGTATGCAAGGGACACGATGGATGACGATAACCGAGTTTACTGACTATGTTGCTATCAAGTATGTTAATTTACTACTAGTATATACTTATGGATATGATCGAGTGCACCAAGCACAAGCATCTCCCTTGTCCAATTAGATTGCAATGGGCTATCACCAAGTTCACGACGAGTATACGGCCAAATTCGAAGTAAATTGGCAAACGGGACGGCACTATCGAGGGAATCCTCCGGGCCGTGCTTTTTTTCATTTATCTGTTCCCATAGCACCGTCGATCAGTTGTGTCGAAGGGTCTCACTTTAATATGGACGAACGTTCCAGAAAACTCTGAGATCTGCCTAAATGTGGATAACCTATGTAAATATATATCATTCTTGGATGGTGAGCACACACACGGCCATGACTGCAAATATATCGTTCCGTGACGCGTAAACCAAACAGCACATGAGGCTGTGTCCACGGTGCTCAGGAGAGAGCAGTAACTGGTCAAGTGATACCAAGGGCCAGCATTAAAACCAACGGACCTAAATGGAACTAGAAAGATATCATAATCCACATTTACGATGGCGGGATATCACCTCATTTTAACACACCCACACTAACGCGTCTACGGTGAAACTATATGGGTCAAGCTCAAAGCATTGTTTGAATTGAGTTCTGTGGTTAAAAGCTTCGTACATATTCCTAGTGTGTAGTTGTACTTCGAGGGTGGAATGGTTGCGTTGCTTAAGAAGTTTATGGAAGCTATACTCCGCGGAGGCCGATGGGAGTTGATATCCCAAGTTGCCACGGAGGCTCCGAGCTTGATACATCGCCGGTTCAAAGTTCAAGGCTGAGCCCCGCGGTTTGGGACCGTTCTTCTTGAAGAAATGATATACTGGCGGAAGTCCGGCACCAACTCCGTCGAACATGACGAGCAAAGGTTCATGGACAGGAAAGGTCGGGTGTACGTGGTTGAAGCGGATCGGGGACCCTTGATAGCTGGTGCCCTTGAACTTTGTACCCCATAGGTGAGAATCGCGACCTGAGCAGACGTCTATCATATCCTGTAGAGGAATAGGACCCTTTTTGATAGTGGGTTTGTTTGGCGTGCGCTTGTTGTGGACAAGGAAAAATGGGGCGTCTCCGTAACGTATCCAGCGGAACGGTCAATGGCAGCGACGGAAACAAGGAAAGCGGCGTCCACCGACGGAGGATGTTGATCAGGGGGGGGCTGGGATTTTGAAATTCTTTTCCGCTCAAGCATTGAGGATAGACTCACTGACCTAACTGGTGTAATTGCCAGTCTACTGTGTGGGACGGTATGCATGGCATTTGTCACTACTAATGGATGTAACAAAGGGTCTGCTGTCCTACATGGGCAGAATTGTACTGCGAAAAGTACCTCCCCCTGTACGGCCCTTAAACCCCGGAGAAAATTTTCTATTGCTTAAGACCTAAGGATAGTGTGACAGGTGCCAAGGCCGGCGTTCAAGCTTAATTACTCGGCAATAGTAGTGGCCACTGGGAGGGGGAGTCAATGCCGATCGTCATCCTAATAGACAATTTCCCTCGTCTGGATACCCTTGGGTCCTAATTCTCTAGCTAAAAAAGACGGGTATCTTCGAGTGAAAAATAAAAAAGATTTGCAAAATCAAGGGCGCCAGGTCCTGTGCCTCCATAGGTGGCAATACTTGGTAACAGAAGTGGACAAGTTTCCATAAATATCAGACGTGCGTCGACATCTTTGGTACACGCGTCAGTTGCTTGTGCTCTTCATTCAATACATATGATTGGATCGCATTGTCGAAAGTTTAGGAGGAGTAGTGCGATTGGAAGTGTTGATCTTGATCCACCAGAACCGCCAGCCCTGGTAACTTTCAGGTACCAAGTACTCCGTACCAACGACCAAGTGACCATCAGCTTACATCCAATTAGGCGACCAGTCGAGGCCACAAATTGCCACAGCGGACATTATTCTCAGCGGTTTGCATGTATGCGTTCTTGACAAGCTACTGACGATTGCTTGTGAAGTGCTTTTTTCCCTCTTGTAAAATATATATATATATATATATATATAGTAACAGAGAAGGCGGTGCATCCAGGGACAAAAAAAGTCTCCTAAGTTCCAATCTGTATGAAGTAGGTCATCCATGTTAAAGCACGGCATACGGACACCGCCCACACACAGCTATCAAGACACTGCGAGGATACTCGAGTTTATGTTAACCGCAACTGAGCCAAGCACGGACTACCAACTACGTACAGGAGTCGTATCAGATTACAGACCTAGTGAAATCACACGATATTAATAATGATATCCTGTGATAAAGACAAGAAAGCTTCAGATATGACCTGAATACCTTCTCCGACTCAGTAATAGGGGAAAACAACAGATGGTGGTGGTGGGAGGGACACGCGGCCCGTGGGGCTCCGAGAAGCAGCGCCCCCTAAATGGTCGCCCCTGAGTGGCTGGAAGGGCGGGAAACCACTCAGATCGACGCCGCTTTTTATTTTCTTCAAGGACTGTTCGCCTGGGAGGTAATCGTACCAGATATCTCGAGTTGAGTACGTATATACTGTCGGTACATAGATGCAGAATCATCAATTGGCGAGCCGTGGGAAATTTTCATCCAGATATTTCACCGTATTTTATAATCTGCAAGGCAGACCGCACAATAACCCCCACGGCTCTTCACAAAAGATGGGAGCAAAGCGAATAATAAAATGTAAAAGAAGATAAAGAACAAACACAGAGTGGCTGCAAATCTGCTAAGGTACTGGAACATTCCCAGAACTTTTCACGCCATTGACCATTCCTAATGGAGCACAATGGTGGATTGTCCGTCCGTCGACTGGACCCGGCGAGTCCCACTTCGTCAAGAAGAGAAGAGATTGTGTGTAATTAGAAAAACGAGCGGTTACGGAAATCTGTAACACTCGATGTCCTGTTTGAAGTTGATGAAGGCAACGTTGATCGGCCGTTAGGACCCTGAGCAGGAGATACGAAGAACGGAGAAAACCCTTCCTAATGGACAGTGCGATTATACAACGCGTACGCAACTCTCTCGGGAAGGATCTTTATGGGTGGGATAATACAACGATCCGGTTTGACCGGATTCACCATAGATTCACCGTTAAGTCAGACTTCCAGAGTACACTCTCTGGTTGTATTCTTCGTGAATCAGATCGCTTCTGGAGAGAACTTGTTATGCAACTCTGTAGGACCCTTACCGTAATGTCGGAGATATTGAATTGAAGATATACACCACTTAACTCAAGTGTATAGGTATTGACTCCTGAACTTGTCGAATATTTTATGCTCGTAGGACATAGTTTCATTGAGCACTGGCCATATATTCTCATAATGATTCAATCATAAACCTTGAGGTTCCGATGGTCGAGGGGGGTTTGGAGGTATGAATCGGATGGTTTGTTTGAAATCCGAAATTGAAAATTACCAACCACCCGTTGTAGTGGAGAGGGGACTCGGAGATCCATCCATCTGGGCGGCATTCTTCCCTTCTGTCAGGGATCTACACCAAAACAGTCCACTGCTTTGAGTATGTATCAGTACTCAGGAAGGGCTAACAGGGTTTCCAGGAATTACAAAAAAAAAAAAAAAAGAAAGCGGACTAAAGTTAGAGAAAATGCGGGAGGCGTCAACAAGGCGAAGGAAGCATAATCAGCATCTTATAACTTGGAAATCCTCATTATTGCCCTCTGGCTTTATTTCTATCTCTCTGCTGAACAAATTTTTCCTCTTCTTCTCAACACCCTCCCAAGCCCTACCTCGAGATTAAGGTCGGTTTCTCGACCATCGATACATCTGAAACCTCTTTTTAAGTGCGGTGGAAAATTACAGCGGAGTTGAGCTTAATATTTTGCAGATTAAATTACCCAGTGGAGGAGCTTAGGCCCCATTTCAACCCGTGGTCCATTATTCGGCATTCCCACTTAGGATCACTTTTCTCTCTCCTGTCTTCATCCTTCCCTCATCCATTCTCTTCATACTTCCTCTCCCCCCCCCCCTCCTCTCTTCTCTTCTTCTTCTTTTCTCCTCCTCATCTCTCAAAGGCTCGACATCGCCCTCACGTCCTCTTTTCTCCTCCAACTCCCATTGTTCTTATAAGCCCTGGACTCGTCCAGTTGTGCTGTTCTTTTTGTTGTCGACCTCTATACTTCCCCTTCGGCTGCTGTTTCCCCCCATCGCGACGGGGAGACCAAATAATTTCACCGGGCCTTTGAACCCGAACCACCACCTTTTTTTGTGACCGTGTCGCAGGTCTCGACGCTGCCAGACTTTCGTTGCCAGTTACTCTAGGCTGTGGAAATTTTTCTATATAAAATTTCTATTCGCCATTTACGCTCTTTTCATCCTCTGTTCGTCGAATCTCGGCTGATTTCTCTGGTGACATTTGTGCGATAGCGGACCCGATAGACGACGACTTTATTCCGTCGATGTCCCTTTGATACAACCAGTGATATAATATTCTTGCTGTCGACCAGTTTCCTACAATCGTTTTCATGCTTAAGAACAATTCCTTTAATAATTCGCCCAAGATGCCGATTTTCCGCACTAGGACTGTCTTTCCTCTCATCGCCCTATTTTCAATAGGCTTCTTCTTTTGGTGCATTGAACGTTATGATCGTGCAGCCTTTCTTCGATTCAAGCACCCCGTCGACCGGGTGACTACGTCAGCTGGTACTCCCCAGATTCAGTTACAACCATCATCAGCCCCGACGGCGAAAATGTGCGATGCGGATCCTAGTGTTATGCCCCCCATGCCGTTCACTGAGTGGCTGCCTCGCAAGAACTATACCCGCGCGTACTTCCGTCCTCACCACGTGAGTCCTAAGACTGAATTCAGCTCGCTGGAGGAAATCGATATCCCTGTGCTCCCGCCCATGACTGTCATGGAGCGCGGTATGGTTGTCTCGCCGGACAACAAGGACGAGGATATTTCCTGCCCTCCCATCATCGATGTTAATGTAGCGGCCGACCATGAGGTTGATGAGACGGACAAGCTTCTGTTTGGTTTGGCCACGACTGCTGACCGTTTGGACCGCTTGCTGCCTTCCCTCCTCTACTCCTACGGAAACACCAAGGCTGGTATTATCGTGTTGGTACCGGAATCCGACGACGACATCCCCAAGCAAGAGACCTACTTCCGTAACCGTGGCTTGGACTTGACACTCATTCAGTCTCCTCTCGATTTCACTGCTCGTTATTTCGGTTTGGTTGAGGCGTTCGCCAACCACATCCGTACCAAGCGTCCTCAGACCCAATGGGTTAGCTTCATTGACGACGATACTTTCTTCTTGTCTCTTCCCACTATCGCTGAGGAGCTGAAGCTTTTCGATGTGACCAAGAAGCATTACATCGGCTCCCTATCAGAAGCCCACTGGCAGGTTGACACCTTTGGTCACATTGCCTTTGGCGGTGCCGGCGTTTTCGTGTCTAAGCCTCTCCTTGACGTTCTCGAAGAATACTACGATGAGTGCCAGGCCTGGGGTGAGCAGCCTGGAGACCAGAAGCTCGGACAGTGCATCCAGAGATACGGAGATACCCCCCTTACCCTTTGGCCCTCTCTTTACCAGATGGACATGAAGGGGGAGGTTGACGGTGTGTACGAGTCGGGCCGGAAGATTGAGTCCCTCCACCACTGGAACAGCTGGTACACCAAGGATGTTGTCAAAATGACGACCGTGGCAGCTGCCGCCGGTCGCCGGTCAGTACTCCGTCGCTGGGTGTTCGACCAGGAAGAGACTGTCAACAACTCCACTGGAAAGAGCACCCGTACATTCTGGGTCTTCACCAACGGATATTCTCTGGTCAAGTACACCTATGGCGAGAACGTTCCTGATGATGCCATTGACTTCGACCATACAGAGAAAACTTGGGAGGAGGACCCTCTTGGCTACGAAGAGCGCCTGGGACCCCTTCGGCCTAAGGAACATGAGGGTGTCCTCAAGGATCGTTGGCTCTTGAGGGAAGCTTACGTTGTTGGTGACAATGTACACCAGTGGTACGTGCGTGAGGAGGATGAAGGCCATAGTGTCATCGAGATCGTTTGGCTTGGACCCAAGGGCGGTGGTGGCGCCGGTATCAAGGACTACAATGTCAGGAAATATCACTGATCTTTTGGTCTACGGATCAAATGAGAAACCACACAACCGATACTGAGGCTGGTCCTTAGATTTGTGGAGTCTTTCCGTTCTTGCACATTATTTTTCATCTTTGTTACGTTCGCTCTCTTTTTATTTATCTCAAGTTCTAATTGTTGTCATACCACCAAGAACGGAAGAGCACTACCCATTTACGAGATAAGGAAACAAAAAAGGTTTTAAACTGAAGGGTGGTCCGAGGTGCACCTCTTTCGACAACTGATTCCTTCGACATCCCTATTTTTGATTGTTCATTTGCCTGGCGTTGTATCGGCGCAGTCAAAGATCGGAACTGGTGGTTTTTCAGCGAAGAGCTTATCTCGTTTTGAGTCCCTTGATTACTTGGCTATACTCCTCCGTTTCCAGAGGAACTTCACGAGTCAACATTTCTCTCCATCAAATCCTTTTTTTTTTTTCTGTTTCCTTTTCCCCCTTTTTCTTTTTTTTTTTTTTTACTCTCCCTTTCTCAGGAGGCTTTCTCTGCAATCATGCATTTTGTAAAAATAGAATTCCGGGCCGTTTCCGGCCCCTTGCTCTTGGAGATTAGCGCATCTGTGATTATGCAAGAATATCATGAGTCAAGTGCTAGATAGAAATTACTACCAATATCTCATTGAGCTTCTCACCAATCACTAGAGTTCTACCATGTATACCTCCGTCGGAACAACGACGCGCGGTCCGTTTCAAGTAAGCGTTTCACATTAAATAACCAAATCCGGGAACTGTCATCCATCAACCCACCCATGGACCAATCACACCCACCAAGCAGCACAACATACTCATTGCACAATACATCGAGTAAAAATTCCTAATCAAATTACGGGAGGAAATAATTTCCCAACAAACAAAGAATCTAGTAACGAAAAAAAAGGGACCTTCCCGCTCTAATTAATCTCTTTGATGCAGGTCGTACTACCTGGCTCTGGCCGGCTCATTTCGGATAACGGATATATGTGGTAGGTAGAGGTAGGTATACGCATCTTCCTAAAACGGATAGAGTTGGTGTCGGGCTCCCCTCCTCTATGACCGCCACATGAGATCATACTATGGGATCGTTACTATAGGCTGAACTGATACGGTGGTTTCGGGCTGAGGTACGGTTGCGTGGTATACCCTCGGGTCGAGTCAAGTGGTGTTTTTTATGGGGTTAGTTGGTTGGTGAGGTAGGTGGTGGTGGTGGTTGCTGTGGCTGGGTTAACGTCCTTAGGTATTCTTTTCTAGGGTTGTTTCTTGATGACTAGGCTATATGTAGTAGGAGGTGGTAGTATATCTTGGGAGCTGGAGGAGAGAAGTGTGTCGTATGTGGATCCGGTGACGTCCTGGGAGAAGGTCCTCTATCTCTTTCGAAGAGGTAGTGGTACATCATTACTATGGTCTAGGTGATTGAGAGGATGAAATGAGATTGCTTTATGTTCTTCTTGAGTACTTTTGAGCTCTCGCCGGGTTTAGTAATGCGTGTGTCACTGATAGCAGGGTTGCATTCTGGGCGCTGATAAGAGGTGTTTGCTTTTTTGGGTTAAGAACATATTTATTCCTGAGGCAGAGAGCTGGGACAATGCGATATTGCGTATTATGGAAGATCAACGGAGCTTGTTGTCCCGGTACCTTTTTATTCAACTGCAGGTCATACTGTTATGTTGGGCTTACGGTTCGCCTGACGAGGCTTGTTTCGACTACAAGTGTTAGCGAGAGATGGTAAGATAGATCCGAACTAGTACAGTGGGTTTCCGAGTGGATGTTCTGATTTGGCGAGGAGTCTCTTTGGGAGGGTCTGAGATGTATGATAGAAACGTTTTGATATACCTCTAGGGTACTAGGTAAGTGCTTGTCTTTTGGGAAGTGGCTGGAATGTTTGTTTGGGCGGCTTCTGCTGACGGTGTCATCGTTCATAGTTAATCAATCACACCTATGGGGAAGACACACAATGATACGAGGAAAGTAAGCCGAAGCTAAGAGACAGAGACAAGCATCTACAAGAGATGAGGTAGGGAAGGAGATACACAATGAGTGAAGACCCTTGTAACAAGGACCACTTACGCTGTATCATCTCACAATCAGAGATCATTGAGGATCCTAGCTATGATCCGAGCGTCTCCTGTTTCGAAAGGAACTAACCAATTTCGACAGTCGAGTCGAAGTTTTAAAAAAAAAAAAAAAAAAGGGAACTCATGCTCCACGAGGAATAGGCCCCTCGTGGGATTGACGTGTAACTTCAGAGTGCATGAATGGGGGAAACAATGGTGAGCCATTATTGGCCGGAAGATACTGATATGGCTGGAATTATTGAACAACTAGCAGTAATAGTGACCATGGGGGTGACTGGTCATGCGAGAGTAACTCTCAAATTCTCAATGCATCCTTATGCTATTTATAAAGGAAACTAGTCATGAACCATGAACGCCTGGGGTCAGGTCACAATGAGGTGTGTTCGGTCACATACAGGGGAGCGTTGCCCTTGCTTTACGCTACATCGTACATCGTTCTCATGATCAGGATAATGATCTCTGTTGTGCTACATGCCTGATATGCTCACATATGATAGGTATAGCATTATTTCTACAAGATTGACCAAGTTCTGCCCTTGAGTTCGACGAGGAGTTAGTGGTGGGGGAAACCTTGGCTGGATGGTACTCGAGAGAGGCGTGGAATGTGCCGCGGCTGACTCATCCTGGAAAAAACAAAGCGAAAAAAAGGTAGTTAAGTGACAATACCAAAAATTGGGTCCTGCTGAAGTTCCAGCCTTGATTTTCTGCAGGTAAATTTGTTCCGGTCACTTTTGCTGAACCCCAAAAAATCATGTGACGAACAGTGATCTTTTTTTGGTCATTTGGTCAATCATCGTCGTCACAAAACAATAAGAATTGAGAAGTACATAATCAGGATCTTCAGGATAGGCACTTGGACAGGCTTAACCAGATAAGAACCTCCCAGACTATTCACCAAGTGGAGTACATAGTGGTACATGGTCAGTGGTATCAAGGTATTATTACGCGATAGTGGGGAATGTGAGTTGGCTTCCGGATCGAATCCTCGATGCCTCCCGGGGGCTGAGCCAATTAAAGAGAATGCCAAGATTGGCGTGTGCTCCACCGTTGGGTCTGGACAAACTTAGTACTTTGTTACGGTCATTTACCGTCGGTGTCTTCAGCTGTCCTTCAGGAGGCTTCGAAGAGAAAATGACGGTTGGATGTGATGGGTTTGAAAGGAGGAAAGTGATAGGTTGAGGTATCCTGATAGTAAGGTTAAGGTCATTTAGAGAGGTCTCTACCTCTGAAACATTTGGCAGCATTTCCACTCCGGGGGGTCCTGTGTCGCCGTCGAATTCATGGAATTCATCCACTGTGTAGGGAGGATTGCTTGTACCGGTGATACGGTAAGGAGGGAATGGGGCCGTCGGGCACACGTGACAGACCGCCTGCCTGTCCCAACCGGCACTTTGCCTTCTTCGAACTCCTCCTCCCCGTTTCTCTTTCCTCTTCTTGTCCTGAACCCAAACCCTGCGAAGCAAACGCGTTACTCGATTTGGTCATTCTTCCTCCCCCCTCAAAAGCATCATTCCTCTTTGGGCATCTGTCTTCACATCCCCCAGATAATCCCCATTACCTGCTTCTTGACATTACTCTATCTTTTCTTTTCTTCCTTCCCCCGCCGTTCTACCCTTGTTCCAGCATGGCCGACATCACTGCCGTCGGTGAGGAGAACCCTTCTCCTACCCAGGATGACCTGCAGCAGGCCGCCGGTAACGGCGCCGCTGACAACCGCACCAAGCGTGCTCGTATGAGCGCCGACGATGACGACGATGATGACGATAAGCCCGGTCGCGAGCGCAGAAAGATTGAAATCAAGTTCATCCAGGATAAGTCGCGTCGCCACATCACTTTCTCCAAGCGGAAGGCGGGTATCATGAAGAAGGTACGTGCTTGTCGCGTCTCCATACCCTCATTGTTTCTTTGTTTCCTCGAGTTCTCGCCCGGCCATTCCCTTTTGTTTGGATTCAATCCACCTCTTTCATTCGCGTATAATCCAATTGTCGCGTGCATTGACCTCACCAAATCGCTGACGATTTCTCTGCGGTCGCAAAACAGGCATACGAGCTGTCGGTTCTCACGGGCACCCAGGTGCTATTGCTAGTCGTGTCTGAGACTGGTCTCGTCTATACTTTCACTACCCCCAAGCTTCAACCATTGGTGACGAAAGCCGAGGGCAAGAACCTCATCCAGGTGAGTGGACTGAATCTACACCCGGTGACGTAAACGATATGCCAGAACTGACATCTCCTCTCGTGATAGGCCTGTCTCAATGCACCCGATCCTACCACCAATGAGAACGGTGTCGAGGCCGGTGATGTGCCGACAGAGACACCCGAGGATGTCGCCGCCCACAACAATGTCAATGCCCAGCAGCAGAACATCCCTCGCCCTGCGGGCATGCACCCAGGCTATATGACCAACGAACAGCAGCAGCAGATGGCCTACTACCAAAATCTTCAGCAGCAACAGCAAGCTGGTGGGCAGTACCCTGGAATGCCCGTGGGCAACCGGATGCCGCCCCAGCACCAGCCCACTGCATAAGCGGTGGTCTTGCTTCTGCGTAATATGTCCTCAGAAGCCGCGGAATCCAGATGTTTGTTGTTTCGCGTCTTCGTCAACTTCAACATGTGCACCTCCGCACCATCGGCCTTCCTTTGATACCCAGCGAAATCTGAATTCTCTTGCCCTGCAAATGACGCTCTAAACGCGGTTTCCGTCGTATACCAGCAACATAACACAAACACCAAAGGTGCCTTAGCTTGTAACCTGTGTATATCATGAGCCGTTGATTCAACGTTGAGGGGTCTGCAGCACCGTTCTCGTGCTGGCTAGATTCCGATTCTATTTATTCCGAAGTCATACAAGACCAAGGGTTTAAAAAAATAAAAAGACAAAAAAAAAATTCAGAAAAAAAAAAGTTCAATTGACGATGAAACACGAAGGATGCAAGCGCTTGGTTCTGGGTTCCGAAGCTATTAATTGTTTTCTTCACGTTCATCTAATTATCTGCTAGACGACAAGTGGAGGTGGCGGTGTTACTGGTGCTTTTCATCTCTTCTCTTTACTCCTGGCGAAGTGGTTTTCCTTACAATGTTTTTTATCCATAATTTGTGTTTCAACCTGCTTTGACTAATTCCTGACTTATCTTTATCTATTTCCCCCCTTTGCGTCGTGTGTGTTCCTTGCATATGTCCTAGTCAACACTGGTATACCCGACCAGTGCAATTCGACTGCTCAGGGAGCAGTAATCCAGGACACGCATGTAGGAATCGGACACGAATTTCCTTGCTTTGATTTGATTGAGTAACTGATGCGATATTGGACTGGGTTTCCCCGGGTAGGACGTATGTCTCATGTATGGTACGGAGAAAATTGGAGCTCTTCTTTTGCCTCATTCTGTAACTGAACAAACAAGGGAGACGGTACTCCTACGCATAATATTACTTGTTTCTACTAGATTTCAGTCACATGTTTCAATCTTGATCTAGAACTGGAAGTCCATTCCATAGGCAGTTTGAAAGAACGAATACTCAAAATAAAAACCCAGAGTCAGGAAAGTCTACCGCCAATCTAACTAATCCAAGGTATCATCGTCCACGCTATATGATATAAAGGGAAAAAAACTAAAAAAAAAAAAAAGAAAGAAATAGAATTAAGGGGAAAACAAATAAAAAAAACCAATGTCCGTTACACGAGAAGCCAGTAACTTTCCCCAAATCCAAAGGTCGCTCAACATACCATCCCTGATTAGTCCCGATCAAATCAAAGAAGAACATGGATGGAAAGCGGATGAGCACTTCCGACTGTGTTGGACAATGGTTTATAACCAGACATAAGAATATTGTGATGTAATATACAATGGGATATAGGAAGGTCAGTCCTTTCTTAGCTCACTGGTAACGGATGCAGGGATATTATCTATCTGTATCAGTGTCTGGGTTGTGTTCGGGATCATCGTGAGTTCCTTGGTCGCTCCGCCGTTGACCACCGGTTAAGCGAGAGAGGTACCGTAGACCGGTTTGCCATGCGGCTCCTAGAGCGCCACTGCTCGTGCCTGCGAGGGGCATTGCGTCTGTGTCGGTGGGTGGTGGTGGTGGTTCACGGGAGGAGGGAGTGTCAGAGCGGTTGTCCTGGGTTCCATATCCGAGGCTAGAGATGTCAAAGAAAGAAGAGCCGCCGGCATATGTGCGCCGCTTTTGGGGCGCTCGACAGTTGTCGGGGGTTGGGGCCGACGTTCTTCGTTGGTGTCCGGGCTGGAAGCTGGAAGGTCGAACTTTGCGGGGACTCCAGGTCTGATGGATAAGTGGGCTGGTTGATGAGTGGCGTTGTCTGCGCAGGGAGGCGTCTTTCAGGGCGACGGACTTGGGTTTTCCTCTTGGTCGGGTTTGAAATGGATCGGCAGAGAGTCGTTTGAGTAACGGTGTCCGGGAGTCCGGGTCAGCGTAATCAAAATCCGACTCGTCGAGCTCCGCCCAAATGGATGCTGGATCCATGTCTGCCGAACTCCCTTGAGGGGTGAGTACAGGTAAGCTGGGGGTTCGTCGATGAGAAGCTCCGCGGTGAGAGGCTTTCCATAGAAGAGGCTCGTGCTCTCCGGCCTGGTCTTCTTCGTCTTCTAGTCCCAGTTCGAGGGATGAGCGAGGGTGTTCCTCGACAACAGCCATTCCAGGACCCAGTGCGGTCTGAGATGGGCCGACAACTGTTACAGCGGCATGACTATCGATGACTTCTAATCGCCATGAGAGACACATCACCCCGCTTAGCAACACAAGAGTACCAAGTGCGATAAGTCCAGCATGAAGGCCGGTCAACTGAGACATCTGACGAAAATAGATAAGACCGTCCAGAATGGCTATGATATTATAAATGCAAAAGACAAACGGATATAGAACGCTCGTGCTGCACAGCTTCAGGCCTCGGTGTAGGTAGAAGAGCTGCGTGAGAGAAAGCGTGATCATTGCAATCAATATTACCCATGACTGCCATCGGTTGAACTGATTCACACGATCCACGACCGTTCGTACAAGTAGTTCAACTGCTGATTTTGCCAAAAGTAAAGCGTGCGCCGATAGAATCCCGCTTACTAGTCCACAGCATAACCCACGTATTAGCCGAGAACGGCCTTGGGTCAGTTGTAGATGTGGCACATAAGGATGGCGGGAACTCGAATGTTTTGAACGAAATGGAGACGCGAAGTACTTCAGAAGTCTTGAACCGAGTAAGATGACCAGCACCAGTACAGCTGTTCCAGCCATCCAAAGAATAAAATTCCAACGCTGGAGGAGTTCTAGGAGTTGATCGAGGGTGTGTGCAGGCTCCCCAATGGCCCCGAAGGTTGCTATGAGAAGAGCGCCGATACAGACCAGGATGGTACCTATAAGGGAGTATCTGGTGAACGGTTCCCCCAAAATCAAGGTTGCAAAGACGGTATTAAAGACGAGCCCGGACTGTTCACAGCCTTGTTAGTAAGGGCTCTGGGGATCCGAGCTTGGGGAGACACTGACAGCTTGGAGAGTCGATAATACCGGAAGCGGAAGTGTAGTGATTTGTATAGTACTCCCAACGATGTTCGAAATGACGAACATTAGCATGCCCAGCTGTAGACCATCAGTACTATTCCTCGTCGGTTTTGTAAGTCTTCGCATACCTGCCATCTTCGACGCTTGTATGGTGGCCGGCGGAGATCGTAAGGGTGTTTCTCGTCCTCGAGGATATGCGATTTGCGCTGGAGGGTCAATCCAATGGCCTGGAGACTGGTCGAAACCAGTCCAACGACAACTCCGACCTATTACCGCAGTTCTAGTCAGTACATTGAGTAAATCATTCGCCGGAATATATCATTCGCGTGGGAAACAGACCGCGACACTCCCCTGTGGGGACAGGCCACCTAAATTACCCATCACGAGTATCTTCATGCATTGGTCGTTAAGTGGGGGACGGTAGACCAGACGCCGCAACACATTAAAAGAGTTTCGGCAAGATTCGAAGTACTGTCGCCATATTCTAGAAAGAAAAATAGCAGGGAAGTGGCAGAGTTGGACAGGAAATAAATGGGAGGCCCAGGACGATGTAGTTGAGACAAGGCGAGTGACTGGAGTGATCTCATGGGGTGCGGGCGGGAAACCGTCAGGTAGTTCCTGAGGCGCCAAACTCGCTATGGCCAACTGACCCGATCGTCACCAGATCCGCTGCGTACAACCTCCCCCATTCACCTGCTGCTTGTTTAGAGCTCTCCCCTCCCTGGCCCCGCCAACTATTTGCACCGGTAGGCATTCCTCCCACTCTATTTTTGTCTTTTTTGATCCCTGATCATTTCTGTGCCCCATCGTCCTGGAATCCAATGCTGACTAGGTCATTGTCCTGACCTCCCCCCCCAGAAAGCACCTCCGCATCGGGAAGCTTGACTTGCGCTGTCTGGTCACCACGCCCTTCGACTCCATCTAATACCTAGATTCTGTTATCATCCGATATTGCTAGCCAAAATGTCGCAAAGCCATGCCCTTTCCGACGATCAGGTACGCTGCCTCCGAAGCATGATATGCCTGTTATTCCCCGAGCTTATATCGTCTACGAACAGGTCGCGGGCGAGCTCCGCAAGATGACGGCCTTCATCCGGCAGGAAGCGCTGGAGAAGGCCCGTGAGATTGAGCTGAAGGCCGATGAAGAATTTGCGATTGAGAAGTCAAAGCTCGTCCGTCAGGAAACCGCTGCCATTGACACCCTGTACGAGAAGAAGTTCAAGCAGGCTGCCATGTCCCAACAGATCACCCGTTCCACCCTTTCAAACCGTACTCGTCTCCGTGTTCTTTCTTCTCGCCAGGAACTTCTTGATGAGCTGTTCCAGCAAGCTCGTGATAAGATTTCCGGCATCGCAGCGAAGGATGCTAAGAAGTATGAAACTGTTCTGCAGGGACTGATCCTTGAGGGCTTGTATGCTCTTAATGAGGAGAAGGTGGCCATTCGGGTGAGGGCCAAGGACACTGGCGCAGCTAAGAAGGCGATTGAGGGGGCTCAGAAGGCATTCAAAGAGAAGGTTGGCAAGGATGTTAATGTGGAGGTAGATGAGGCCGAGCCTTTGCCGGAGGGATCGTAAGTCATGTTCTTTGTTTCCACTTTCGGTCGTACTATATCTAACGCATGATCTGCAGTGCTGGAGGTGTGGTCATTCTCGGCGGACAGGGTACGATCGAGCTCAACAACACTTTCGAAGAGCGCCTGCGGTTGCTCGAGATCGATGCTCTTCCCGCCGTGAGAGAAACACTATTCGGAAAGAACCAGAACCGGAGGTTCTACGATTAGACTAATACCTGTCCTATTATTGATTTTGCGCCAAGTCCGTTATCGCTGATTCTTGTATCTATGTCTCTTTGATTAACGCTCCGCATGCGGAGAACAGCATAGCCCTGTCTACAGTCTCTTACTATTCTCCAGTAAAGTTTACCTACGTTTCAGGCTACTCTTCAAGAAGATCGGGTGGGAAAAGGCAGCGTTACAGTAGAATCACTGGCTGCTGCTCTCAAGCTCATATCAGTCATAATCCCCTTCCATCATTAGATAATTTTAGGTTGTCTGGTCATGCTCCTGGCTGGCCATTTCAATCATAGTAGCTCTGGCATTTGTCAAGCTCTTGCACTAGAATCCCTTTGACATTTGTTGTGATAAAGGTTGGTGTATAGTCTGGATATACTTCCCACGCAAAGAAGAAAATAGATTTTGGGCCATGAGGATAGTCAAGGACTAGCCTCATGGCGAAGCTTCTGGTTGTCGGGTGGGAGTTTCCGGGTCTTGTTTGATATTGACCTTCCACGGGTCAAAAACTTTCTTGTTTTGGCGACCAGCCCCATTCTCTCCGAATATTGACCTCTTTGGGCGTGGCTTGGTCCTGACAGAGTATATAATGCGGTAGTGCAAGGCTTCGAGGGCTTCCTTCGCTAGGGTCCGCTTGAGATGGGATGCGCCCGAATCCTCAATGGAGGTGAATATTCTCTTGATCCGGTCCGCGAGCACATCAACCTCGGAGTTGAATTCCCGCTCTGCATCTTTACTCGAAAAGTCCACGCCGGACCAGCCGGAATCAATAGCAATATTGAGGATAGTAGTTATAGCCATAAGTTCCCCATAGTCGTATTCGGGTTGATCTTTCGTCTTATATCTCTTCACATCAAAACGTTTGTCTTTCAGGACATTGGTTATTCTCTTTAAATAAACCATCACATCTGGCTCTTCGGTTAGTGGAGAAGGATCGCTCGTTAAGAACGCGACGGCGAGACGGCATCGCAGCATTGCAATCCAGCTTGATGTTGGCAAGATGTGCGTCAAGAGGCGGCTCTGGAATACAGCATCGTTGATGGTTTCGTAGGCAGATGTGCACACGCGATATACCTAGATACGTCAGTGGATATCCTTGCATATTGTCGCACGACATAGGTAGTATTACCAACTCATCCGCCGTTTCTTCGGGGATACTCTCCAACACTGCAGTTATAGTCCTTTCCAATTCCGAGCAACCCATGGGGTCGCGAGTTAATGATATGTCGAGAGAAAGACGGAAGAGTATACTAAGTATGTGTTCTCTAGTCTCGTCGGAGAACCTATCAAATGTTAATAGTTGTTTCATCATGGTGCAACCTCGACACTAACAGATCTGCTGCCCCACGCAGAAGGTTTAGAATAGACAGCAGAGCAGCATGGTGCTGTGGAGCTGCGCGCAGCGAACTATCTGTGTGTTCTGTTAGTTATACGAAAGAGCGAAACGAGCAGAAATACAGGCTAGCCTCACTTTTTGGGACTGCGTCTGGAACTATAACTTCAGAGAATGCCAAGGCCTTCGGGCTTGCTCCCATCCTTTGAAAAATGGCGTCAATGCTGTCCGGCTGCACAAGTGACTGTATACGTTCCGCAGTAGTGTTCTTTGAAATGCTTCAGTATTAAAACCTCTCCCACTCAACATATAGCTTGACAAACCTTGAAGGCCCGGCAATAAGCGCTCCTTAATGTATCTCGAGGCTCTGAGGGTACTAAAGGATGTAAGCGCAATACTAACTCAGGGATTCATGTCAACACACCAGAATTAAGCATCCATATAACTAACTCGTCAGGCAGGAGCCCCCTTGACAACGCGAAATCAACAGAGCCTGAATGAAATGCTCGCTCTCTCGATTCGGGATCTACAAACAGGTTAGAGATGGAACCCGAGATACCACTTTTCAAGCGAACCTCGTAGCACAGAAAGACTTGACTTCGCTGGTATACAGTTCCGTGGAAACGCCGGAGGAGGAGCTAATCCACTGCCGTGGTCGAAGAAAAACCACGATTTCTCCATGTCAAATGCTTCCGTTCTCCGAACAGCATCAAGTAAGCGTCGCAGCCCCGTTTCGTCATTCTGGTCGTCGAGAGCCGACGTCAGAATACCTTCGTGCAACTGTTGTAAGCCCGGAGCTGCCTCGGACTTTGAAGCGGCTTTCCGGGCATTTTCCTCTTCTAAAGCAGCCCTAAGCTTTGCAATGCTTGCCTCGGTCTCATTATCATCGACTGCCTGGGTAACAAGACTATCAATGGTGTGCTTGTACTTCGGGGCAGAAACACGACTCAGCGAAAACCTTCTAGGTTTCACGTCGTCTCTTGACGGCCGAGAACGCAAAGTCCTTCCGTGGCTAGATGAATCATTGCTTGTTTCTTCCTTTGTGGAGGTTTCATCTGGTTTGGCGAACTTCAGAAAAAGAGAGGTTGGATCTTCAAAGACCTCACTTGTGTCCGTATCTTCACCGTCGGAGCTGATTACAACTTCTTTTCCGTTTCTAACAACGCGCTGGGCTAGGTTGAAGCTTGGTGGTAATGTTGGATCAGAAGCTGTGGGTTCAGTATTTTGAGAGCTTGGTTGGTGCTGTGAGTTTTCTGCAGAATCTGTGACAGAGAGTAACAATGACTGTTTCAGCTGCAATGCTGGACCGTCTGGAGTTTGTGGAGATCCACCATTTGATACAAAGGACGACGGCGGTTCAGTGAGGGGAGAAGACTGAGAACTCGCGGCAAGAGTTTCGCTTGGATCCTGGTACCGAGAATCTCTGCTAGCTGAAAAATCTGGCCGTTTGAAATAATTCCTGATGCTGGAACGTTGAGACATGCCGGACATTCTGAAGGAAGTTTGATATGGAAATTGGCCCGCATGCACGGCTCCCGATAGCTAGTAGGCATCTTGGCGCTACACCTTGAGTGGAGAAAGGTTAGGTTCGGCGCTAGCCAATAGAATGGCCTTTACCTCTTACGGATAAATGGAGTACTTTCCTGGGCCCCAGTATACTACGAGACAGTCTAGACTACGTCCAAACACTCATTTTGCTTCGAATGAAGTTAATAACTGCTTTCTAAATCTTTCTAATTGCTTGCGCAAGTATATCATTTTTCTGGGGCAAACTAAATGCGGAAGTTTCCACTAGGTCATACAGGTTAGTTTTGTTATACGATCATCTCCGTATGTGAGACGCACTATCTATCACACCTTCAAACCAACTTTCTAACACTACTGACCTTCGCGCCTACCCTGGTTGTTTGGCCATTCTCAGTGGCCTTCCCTTTCCTCGTTGTGTGGGTATGTATATATATCTTTGTTTAACATGGGGCCCCTTTATAGGTATTTGTAGTAGCAAGTATATGTCTCTTATTCACAATCCTCGAGCTGCCCAACATGATGGCGAATCAGAACCACTAAAGAAATGCCATAACTAATTAATCGTACGGAAAGTCTTATATTACTTTAGTTGGACTCACTTGGTATAGTATCGATACCTAAGGTTATATGTTAGACCTGCTCCTCAAGCGAGATATATATAGCCCTCTAATGCTACCCAGCTGCTGTACCACGTCCTCAACTACCCCGAAAGTTTTCAGCAACTTAATATTA